ATTTCTTTAAAAAATAGACTATTAGTAAATATATAGGTAATAGTTTAATAGTTAAAGAGAGTAAGCTTAAGGAGGAATTTACTACTAAGCTTATAAAAGTCCTATATAAGGATTAGGTTATAAATATTATTAAAGTACTGGTTAAGGTCTTTAGGGGGGATTATATTATAAGCTACTACTACTTAGGGCATTATAATAGATCTATTAGTATAGTTTTAGATAGCTAGTTAGTTAGGATAATATTAATAGAAGACTGTTCTTATTAGGCTTATTAGTATAAAAGCTACTATTTTAAAGATTTAAGGTATTAGTAGTATTAAGCTAACTTTTTTTAGCTAATAAATTAAAGGTACTATTTTATATATCTTTAAGGCTAGCTAAAGAGTTATAATCTAAGTTTTCCTTTTATTAGCCTTTAGCTATAGTAATTAGTTAGTTATTATAGTATAATATCTAAGTTATTAGCTAGATATATTATTTGCAGTTAAGGCTTGTAGCTAAGAGCTTAAATTAGTAGACAGAACTTAGATCTATCGCTCTAAATGCTTGTTAACAAAAGCACTAATCATCTTTCGTCCCTCTGCACCTTCACTATGCGGGAGTAAAGGCCAAACATGAATCATACCCTCCTTCTCAACATACACAAGCCGATCTGTCTCCACGCTCCCCGCCGGAGCCTCATCCACGTCTTTGCCTAGCAACTTGGACTTCAACCGTCTAGCATCAGCGCAGAGCAAGTCTCTCGGTCCGCCAAACATAAGCAATGGTGGAAGTTTATCCATGTGGCCGTATAGCGGACTGACGAGGGGATGCTTGATCGGCAAGTCTCCCGCGAATATCTTGCCTGAGATGCGAAGGCCTGTTACACCGAGCCAGAAATCGATCTTGGCGAGACGTAGTGCTTCAGGATGATCGACTGCACAGTCGAGAAAAGGCGCTATGAGAATCAGAGAGCGTATTTTTGCGAATAGATCAGGCGCTGTATCTCTGAGATGGAGGGTACTTGCTAGAGCGAGTGTACCGCCTGCTGAATCACCCGCGATGCTCACGATAGACTGCTTCGACAACCGACAAATATCGACAAACCCATCAGCAAGTTTCTGCGCCGTGGCCACTGGTCTCGGGACGAGTGGGTAAATCGGTATCAAGACGTCCAGATCCGTCTCACTTGCGATTTGCGCGGCGAGCTTCCAATGCTGGGGATATATTTCCTTAAAAAAAGATCCGCCGTGGATGTAGAGAAGAGCCTTGCGCTGCTGACTCTTGGTCTGAGAATTTGTTGTGGAGATCCTGTATAAAGGCCATTCCTGCACGTCGACGCGCTCAATGGTTATGTTTGAGCCAAGGCTAGCGGGAGGGCGATGGTCCTGTGGTCGGAGGTAGGTCTCTTGAATGTTCTGACGCGTCGCCTCTTCATCTTCCTGGGCGGCCTTGTTCGAGCGGAACCAATGTATGAGAAGGGTGACTATGGAGGCTGAGATGGAAGGCATTGCAATAGGTGCGTTGATGTGAACATGTCGAGGGAAAATCGAGTTTCGGGAATCTAGGATTGGAGCATGATTGACTTTAAGTGATCCTCAGTGATTGCTTGAGATGCGTAAAGCTTAAGCGTTATGGCGCTACCCCGCAAACTTAAAAAGATGCCTCGGCGCTTTGGTAAACAAAGAGTTAGAGGCTACCTAAAAAAACAAAATAGATTTCATTCCCACCAGTTCTTAGGATAGATTCTGTTCAGCTGATATCTTGGGGAACAAGGAGGCCCGCGGGGACCGGGGCTTCGCTATCCGCGGGCACTGTCAACTCCTCGCCATATATCAGCTGCCAATCCTTCGGATTGCTTTGCAGTTGCGCCATTGCAACGAATCCGTGAAATGACAATTTCCTCCAGCTTTTGCAGTGTTGTGAACCGTAAATCGACGTTCATTGGACTTACTCCAGTTAAAAGCTGCTCCCGCATGTGCGGCTGACAAAGAACAAATTACAGAGAATTCGTATCAAAATTCCTTCTTGGGTAATCAAAGGGGGGTTTCAGAGTACCTGTACCTGTGCGACGGACATTTACAGTGCTTTTACACGAGCTGGACGATATGCTGTTGGTATCAAGGTCCGCGGATGCCGACTGATCTGCACCGTGCAACCTTTCAAGTCTCCTGACATGTCTGTATTTTAACTTCCTTCTTTCCATTAGTTCCCTTCATAACAGTTATCATAATCATTGCCAACTTGAGATGCCTTTCTAACGTCTTTCAGTCTCGGCCTACCAATTTAAAATGCGAGCAATCGGCGACTACAGCGACTGTGGCTTGACACGGCACGTGAACGCCACATTTCAGCCACTCAAACGATAAGCAAATGCATTCATTGATAAGATAAGATAGCACACGATAAGATAATGGTCTTAGAAATGAAGTTGAGATTTGGCTTGACATGCTTCAGGGTAGGGGATGCCGGCAGATGTCATTTTCCAGCTCATCTTAATTAATTTTGTCTCATAACCTTGTGCTGCTTGAAGAGATCTATCTGGGGACCGATCAAGATGATCTATACTTGTGCGTAACCATAAAACCAAATCTCTGGCGCTCTTTGATCCCTGCATTTTGCAGATTTTACGTGTTGGTTCAATATCACGAGAGGCCATCATGAAACAACGCCTCGACTTGGCTGGTCTTGACTAAAAGTTGCACTCATGCTACAACAGTTGGACCAATCAATCTACACATGGAGATACTATGCTATATCCGAACTCCGTCTTCATCATACTATTCACATCCGCAAATATCACCGAAGAACAACCTCAATTCATGCAAAGTCGAGGTTCTTATCAGCGCAGCGACTCGGATACGTACAGGCGATACTCTCGGTCGCACAAAAACACCACATCTGCTGCCAGCCTCATCTCGTGATGTGGGCTATCGCACCGATATGCAACACACGAATCTTGCGGTCACACCAAAGGTCCAAGCTCATCACATCTCACGAACAAAACCGGACCTGGCGCCGTTCTTATAAAGTAATGCCGTCCAGCATATGTAACGTTGAACGGGCCCGGGGGCTTTGGCTCCAGATTTCCCGAGTCATCTAAACTGGAGCCATCTCACGACTGTGGATTAAGGGATTTTTGTTGAGCAAGTGATATGGGGTACATTGAAAATATCCATAACGGAGTATTTACTTTTAGTTTGCGATTCCCCGTGGAGGTAAGATGAACAAAGGGTCTCTTCCACAATTTTATAAACAATGCGACTGTGATTGGTCAGAGATATCAAGTTTCCCGATATCTCTCTTGTCAGTTTTACATACGCTCTATTACATACGCTTTACTACATTCAACGTGCTAGATCAGATGGTTTTACTGATTTATTCCCTCGATTAAAAGACGTCATTCCTTCATCTTACATAAGCGTTCAAATACCGGACAACGGATCGGCCGAGAGCGCCACGGAACAGACGATCGACAATGCTTCTCCCCTAGAAATTTTCTAGAACGATTCGAACCGCTCAAGCCCGGGACCGTCTGTCAGCAAGCTTTCCGACCTGCATCTCTCAAATCTGAACTCCGAAGACTATTTGAAGCTTAATCACTTACCCAACGTTGATTAAGATGTTCTAGACGGCGCAAATGATACCACCAGACTCCGCAATCTCCCGTAGGCAGCGAGATACTAGCATCTCCAAAGTGCCGTTTTTGCCGTTCGCGACCAGGGGCAGAGCCGCAGCACGCCTCTACCGGACCCGCTGTCGTCCAATGCTGTGCATGAGCCTCATCGCTTGGCGATAAGGAATGCCTATTGCAGTTACTCCGAGCCTTATCGCTGCGAGATTTTACATTCTCTGACTCGCGGGCTATGACGACTGCGGAGCTCACGGACCCGTTTCGCGGGACCCGATATCCACTGTCGACAGGGCACCTCCGAAAAGAGACCGTGCCGCATTATCCGTGGACTCCAAATCTTCACCGTGAGAAAAACATGGCCGTGGCAGGAAGAAAACAATCTCATGATTATTGTTACAATGAGCTTGGATCAACTAAATCTTATCCCCACATACGAGGGGTTTTTTCCTGCTTCTCCATGGGGCTCCGCAGAAATCTGGAGTCTCTAGTCTGGTTGATGAGATTGGTATAAAACCTAGCCCACGAACCTCCAAATACCAAATCTCCAACCCAGGCCCCATTCCCCCAACTCGTTCTCCAAATCTCTAGTCAAAGATGAGCGTGCCAACATACATGGGCGTCAGCGGCAAGTCCCTCGCCATCCTCCAAATCGCCGCCATCGTCGCCCCCTCCTTCGTCCTCTTCGGCTACAACCAAGCTGGCATCGGCGGTCTCCTCTCCGAAGAAGACTGGGTCAAGACCTTTCCCGAGATCGACACCGTCAACTCCGCCGGCGCTGACAAGAGCTCCAAATCTACCCTCCAGGGCTTCGTCGTCGCGACCTTTGTCATCGGTGCGCTGATCGGTTCGCTGAGTTGCTCGTATACGGGTGATAAGTTTGGACGGAGAAATGTCATCTTTGCTGCGGCGATTTGCTCCTTGATTGGAGAGATCCTTGAGGCGTCGTCTTTTGGACTCGCGCAGTTCATTGTTGGACGCGTCATTATTGGCTTGGGTATTGGGCAGTTGAGTTCCATTGTGCCCGTTTGGCAGAGTGAGACGTCGGCGGCTGTGAACCGTGGTCGTCAGGTTGTGTTGACAGGCCTGTTCATCTGTCTCGGTTACGTTCTTGAATCATGGATCAACCTTGGCTTCTTCGAGTTTCACCATGGCCCTGTTACCTGGAGACCCCCGATCGCCATCGCCATTGCCTTCTCCCTCATCCTCATGGCCAGCATCTACTTCTTCCCCGAGAGTCCTCGATGGCTCGTCCTCAAGAACCGATCTGAGGAGGCTCGTCACGCCGTCGCTGCTTTCCGGGGTCTTCCCATCGACTCCACAGAGGTTCTTGCTGAAGTTGCTGGTATTGAACACTCCCTTGAAGAGACCTCCGACAACGCTGCGCGTCTTAGCGACATGCTCAAGATGGGCGAGGATAAGCTCCTGTACCGCTTCATGCTCTGCATCCTCCTCCAGTTCTACCAGCAGATGAGTGGTTCCAACCTCGTCAGCGTCTATGCCAACGTTCTCTTCCAGAAGAACTTGGGCATGAGCGCCGAGACTTCCAAGATTCTTACCGGAGGAGCTCTCACTTGGAAGTTCCTTGCTTCTTTCATCGCCTTCTTTACCATCGATCGTTTCGGTCGTCGTGCCGTCTTCATGATCAGTGGTTTTGGCATGTCGGCCTGCATGATTGCCCTCGCCATCACCACCTCTTTCGGCAGTGAAAACAAGCCTGCCATGATTGCTGCTGGATGCTTCATTTACCTGTACAACACTTTTGTTCCCATCGGTTTCCTCGGTGCCAACTTCTTGTACTGCACTGAGGTTGCTCCCATCCGCCTTCGAATGGCTATGTCTTCCATCTCGACCGGTAACCACTGGCTCTGGTATGTTGTCCCTCTTCATTCCTATTACCGCAGATATTAAACATCCTTAGGAACTTCATCGTAGTCATGGTCACCCCCGTCGCCCTCGAGAGTATCGGCTGGCAGTACTACATCGTGTACGCCGTCATCGCCGCATGCGTTCCCATCTCGGTCTTCCTGTTCTTCCCTGAAACCATGGGTCGCAACCTCGAAGAGATCGAACTCATCTTCAAGGAATCGCCCTCCGTGTTCGCAACAGTCAAGTTCGCAAAGACTCGACCTCGCAACACTCCTCAGCAATTCCTTGCAAGCAAGGAAAAGGCTGATCACTTGGAGCAAAGCGAAGAGTAATCGGGAAAAAAAAAAGGGAACTGGAAGCAATTGTGTATGTTTTTTTACGAAATGAAATAGCGATAGAAACCAGAATGCTAGTATGATTATGACATGGCATGACATGATATAGCCAAGTGACATTTATCCGGCCTCTCATCATGTGAACATGCCTTGGCCCCTTGTAATTTACCACGTTAATTCGTGGATGAATTAAAGAAATTGTGAATCGGAAAAGCTAAGCTTGTTTTGGTGAGCTACACCGAGTCAATCATGAAGATCACGACAAAATGCGACTCAGGTCCACACAAGCTCTACCATGCGCACGAATCATTTCCCCCTTCCCCCTCCTACCCCTGCTCAATTGGAGCCTTTTTACCCCAACTCGAAAAAACAAGCCATGATCGACAGTTTTTAGTAAACGTCATGATCAAACCCCAGAATTTAACCGTTTTTCTCACGATGGTCATCCCCGCGTTCGGGTAAAGTTGATGATGTTAATGGCTCTCTCGGTAGTCACTATGATACGATCGTCAAAGTGCGGAGAAGCTTATCTGGTCAATTATTGGACCGCTTGTTTCCTGCAGGAACGGAATGGGGTTGGTTAACCCGGTTGAATTGTGCAGGTTTGTGCCTGAATTGAAGTGTTACACTATATAAAGACCATTAGCAGCGTCGCAGTTTCTGAAAATCTCACCTCATCTGTACGGTAAGGTCAATTGAAACCTGACATCATGGTTCGCTTCAGTTCAATCCTTGCGGCTGCGGCTTGCTTCGTGGCTGTTGAGTCTATCAACATCAAGGTCGACAGCAAGGGCGGAAACGCTACTAGCGGTCACCAATATGGCTTCCTTCACGAGGTTGGTCAACTCACCATTGGTGGTAATTGGGATGCTAACTTGGGGCTAGGACATCAATAACTCTGGTGATGGTGGCATCTACGCTGAACTCATCCGCAACCGTGCTTTCCAGTACAGCAAGAAATACCCTGTTTCTCTATCTGGCTGGAGATCTATCAACGGTGCTGAGCTCTCCCTCAACCGTCTCGACACTCCTCTCTCCGATGCTCTCCCCGTTTCCATGAACGTCAAGCCTGGAAAGAGCAAGTCCAAGGAGATTGGTTTCCTCAACGAGGGATACTGGGGAATGGATGTCAAGAAGCAGAAGTACACTGGCTCTTTCTGGGTCAAGGGTTCTTACAAGGGCCACTTTACTGCTTCTCTGCGATCTAACCTTACCGACGATGTCTTTGGTAGCGTCAAGGTCAAGTCCAAGGCCAACAAGAAGCAGTGGGTTGAGCATGAGTTTGTGCTTACTCCTAACAAGAATGCTCCCAACAGCAATAACACTTTTGCTATTACCTATGACCCCAAGGTGAGTAACAATTAAAACTGAGACGTGATGTATACTGACATTTTGTAGGGCGCTGATGGAGCTCTCGACTTCAACCTCATCAGTTTGTTCCCTCCTACCTACAAGGGCCGCAAGAACGGTCTTCGAGTTGATCTTGCCGAGGCTCTCGAAGGTCTCCACCCCGTAAGTTTTGCCGTCTCACGTCTCTCACGAGTAGTCGCTGACGCGTAGAATAGAGCCTGCTGCGCTTTCCCGGTGGTAACATGCTCGAGGGCAACACCAACAAGACCTGGTGGGACTGGAAGGATACCCTCGGACCTCTTCGCAACCGTCCTGGTTTCGAGGGTGTCTGGAGCTACCAGCAGACCCATGGTCTTGGAATCTTGGAGTATCTTCAGTGGGCTGAGGATATGAACCTTGAAATCAGTAAGTTCTATAAAACTCGGTGACGATTATGTGCATGCTAACAGAATTTAGTTGTCGGTGTCTACGCTGGCCTCTCCCTCGACGGCTCCGTGACCCCCAAGGACCAACTCCAGCCTCTCATCGACGACGCCCTGGACGAGATCGAATTCATCCGAGGTCCCGTCACTTCCAAGTGGGGAAAGAAGCGTGCTGAGCTCGGCCACCCCAAGCCTTTCAGACTCTCCTACGTTGAAGTTGGAAACGAGGACTGGCTCGCTGGCTACCCTGGTGGCTGGAACTCTTACAAGGAGTACCGCTTCCCCATGTTCCTCGATGCTATCAAGAAGGCTCACCCTGACCTCACCGTCATCTCCTCCGGCGCTTCTATCGACCCCGTTGGTAACAAGGATGCCGGCTTCGATATTCCTGCTCCTGGAATCGGTGACTACCATCCTTACCGCGAGCCTAATGCTCTTGTTGAGGAATTCAACCTGTTTGATAACAACAAGTACGGCCACATCATTGGTGAGGTTGCTTCTACCCACCCTAACGGTGGAACTGGCTGGAGCGGCAATTTGATGCCTTACCCCTGGTGGATCTCTGGTGTTGGCGAGGCCGTCGCTCTCTGTGGCTATGAGCGCAACGCCGACCGTATCCCCGGAACCTTCTACGCCCCTATCCTCAAGAACGAGAACCGCTGGCAGTGGTCCATCACCATGATTCAATTCGCCGCCGATTCTGCTATGACCACCCGCTCCACCAGCTGGTACGTCTGGTCCCTCTTCGCCGGCCACCGTATGACTCATACTCTCCCTGCCACCTCCGACTTCGACCCTCTCTACTACGTCGCTGGTAAGAACGAGGACAAGGGAACTCTTATCTGGAAGGGTGCGGCGTACAACACCACCAAGGGCGCTGACGTTCCCGTCTCTCTGTCCTTCAAGGGTGTCAAGCCCGGTGCTCAAGCTGAGCTTACTCTTCTGACCAACAAGGAGAAGGATCCTTTTGCGTTCAATGATCCTCACAAGGGTAACAATGTTGTTGATACTAAGAAGACTGTTCTCAAGGCTGATGGCAAGGGTGCTTTCAACTTCAAGCTTCCTAACCTTAGTGTTGCTGTTCTTGAGACTCTTAAGAAGGGAAAGCCTTACTCTAGCTAGACGGCAGACATTGGCCTCGTTGATGAGCTAAGATAGAAAGAAAAGATCTAAATATATCTATAGTGAATTGAATAGTAAACGATTCAAACAGCCAAGTCTCACCATCTTCTGAGAGTGTGACCGACCGTACCTCCTCGCCACCGTCCCATCCTCGCACGTTCATAAGCCGCTTCAGAATAATCATTGCAAAGCCTTGGGAATCCTTTAGACGTGTTGGATGTCTTCTAGCCGGTGAACTCAACGCTACTATCAACGTAGGGGAGGTCATATGCAACACCAGAGCACTTGGTACAATCGTCGCTGAGGAAATCAATCTCTCCAGCCCATGCGTCAGGCAGAATCTCGTCTTCTCCAGTCTCCTTTCCACGTAATCGATAGAAGACACGACGAGACTGCGAAATCACACTTTTCTTCTTCTTTACGGGGCGGCCTTTGTACGCACCCTTGGTGTCCTTCTTCATGCTTCTCTTGCTTAAACATAGGCAGGCCTTGAGCAGATCCTCAGCATAACCCAAACCTCAGGTAGGCCAGAGACACATCGTCTTCAGGGCCTCTAAGGCACACAACCACATAATGCAGCAGATTTTAGTGGCTACACTCTACAATATTAATCTGGTCAATGCAAAGAGCATTAATGTAAAGTCATCGATGTTCTTCTTGCTGTATAAAAGTCATAAAAAACATGTGCAAAGGTTTCGGGTAACACCAAACCGCTTTCCATAACCAGTGTGTCTTGTGGTTATTTTCTTCAGGCACTCCCTGTGTCTATAACAACGGAACGCATCACATGTTCCCGAGGTATACCTTAGCAGAGTGTCACGATCAGTACCTCTGAGCTTCAAGGTGTGCCTGGATTCTAGGATGGCATACCTGGTTGAGAACCGCCAAGTGTTAGAGCAGCCAGGAGTAAGCGACCCCCATTCTCAACACCCGGAAAAACGTATCCTATCCCTTCTAATCCTTCCCAGCATATCCAGTCTCTGTGACTGAAATGGATGCCTCGCCTCTCATCACATCGTTTCATAATTCGTCATACTCATAGTCAGTTGAGCGTACTACCTCCACACACAATACCCTTCCTGTTAGCAATCAGCATGTCTCAGGTCAGGCCTGGCGTAAACAAGGTAATGAAAACATTGACCAAAGTTATGTTGTGGTTAACGGCTACTCCCATGATAATCTGAAAGCTGCCGTGAGAAATGTGACTACAGATACTACCTACTATGGGCAATTTATATCCAGGGTTACAGATCTTTGGGAGATGTCTAATGTTCGAGTAATTACTGATACGTGTGAGCCCATCATCCAATGCGGTAAATAGTTTCGCTGAGATCAGATATTTCGTCAGTGACAGTCATCCAAGCAAGAAAATTTGCAGTCTTGATATTGAGCATGACTTCAGGCCAAGATGTAATGTAACCTAGTTCTACTGCCCTGTAGATGACTGTATTGACCAAAGTCTTCTGACCTGATGCATCGCTGGATACGAGCTTTAAGATAAGTGGACTGATCAGCGCGATGCCGATCTATTTCAGACAGTAATTTGGGGGCTTAAAAATTATTCATGACCAAGGGGACATAGAGATGTAAGATTGGGCTGTTTGATGGCGTGAGGTTGCCGATCCAGATGCATGCAAGGTTTATTTGTTTCAGCTGCGGGCGGTTACTATCAACCGAGATCGTCTATTTTACACCTTGATAGGAAGCTTTTTGTTAAACTCAGCTTCTACCGCTCCGGCTACTTCTCTGTTGAGAGTCCTTGGCGCTGATCGCCTGCAGTGACTTTATTTTCATCACAAGATCCTGGTCAGTATCCACGTAACAGACCTCTCATACTGTGAGAAATGGTATGCACCACAAGGTAAAGATACTCAGGACAGTCCCGGAATGCACAACTAATTCCCCGACGCACTATACCAACTTACTATGTACCACCCGCTCTATTTGATCACTGATGTCATCTCCCTAAACCTGAGGCATAGATATGGTGCTGACCCCGCATTTGCTGATGCTACAACCAACTTGAACTTGGCCATCTCGATCTGCGTTCAACAACCAACACGACAACTCAACTTCCTTTGATCCAACCTACCAATCGTGTTTAAACTTGCGACTTCGTGTTCAACGGCCAACACAATAACCGCTTTGATCTACACTTGGCGCTGCGCATTGACAGTCAGCTCGGAGTTTACCTATTTCAACCTGTCTTGGATAACCAGCATTGAACTGCAGCTTTTAAGAAAAGAGACAACAACACAGAGTCTAGGCAAGACCAAAGAGTGTGAAGAACATAAATATCCAGCTTATCCCGCTCTCCAACAATCCCTCTACTCCAGCATGACATCCAGAAACCTCAACAAGACCTGGCGCGACATCGTCTTTGAACAGTACGAAGCCGATCACGCAGCTGATGCCCCCTTTCCAATCCACTACTTGATCTACGGCGACCAGTGGAAAATAGATATCATCATTGATATCCCCAACAAGATAGACGTGCCCGTCTTCCGCCAAGCTCTCCTCCACGCCGCCAGTTCTAGACGTCTTGAAAAGGACCCGGCGTACAAAGACGACCTGATCAGTGTCCGAGCACGTATTCCGCCAAGCAAGAATGGTGATGCTCACTCGCAAGATGACGCTGCTGCTGATGGCAACAGCGGCTAATGCTTGGACGTTCACCATTTATGGTGACGGCGACTGCGAGTCGACTCCGTCTGGTGACCTTCGGGGAGATGGTAATCAAGGTACTTGCCCCGAGCGATTCTGCCAGTAGTATAATGGCTAATGCTAGCCCAGGCTGTGAAAGCATTCCTAACCCGCATAGAGGGTTCTTGCTTGAAGATTTGGGTAACTGCCAAATTGATCTGTATGCCAACGAGGGCGATTGCAATTCGGGCGTACCGCAGCAGTTTTATGATGCGACCCTTGAGGACATCTGCATTGGGCCTGACTTCGTATGGGATTACTATACTGTAGTTGGCTGTTAGGAAGTTCTACCGTACTGGCGCCGTGTAACGAAAGCCATAAGCTATATATTACTTTTTGTTTAATCTCGACCATTCCTATCTACAGTGCCTATTTGTTGATACGCAGGGACCCCGTACTTAGACTGCAGGTATATACAATAGCCCAGAACACCATTTCATATAGCCTCATCATAAGTGCCTCCATCCTTAGCGCTCCATTCGGACCCCACATGAAGTCATTATTCAGCACAGTGTGCACGCGCAGGGGACCATATAAATGCCCGATGTGCAGTTTAGACCGCGACAGCATCTATCACGCTCTATATCATCACGAGGGCGTCTGCGATCGGCTCTAGGATCTTGCGGTCGTTGGAATTCTATATCAAGATGTGAATCAGCCTTCGAGTACCTCACAATTGAGATAAAGCACATACTCATAGGCTGTTGCGTTCTTGGCTGAGACATTTGCACAGGCTGAGAAGCCTTCGCACCGGCGGGCTGGGCAGCTGGTTGTGGTTCAGAAATAGGTGACATATTGGTGATATAACGCGGAAACAACGATACGAGTAATATTTCAAGTATGCAGACACTAACGTTGGAATAAATACCAAGGCTCTCGTGTTGGTTCCAACAATGATTGACAGCTGAGCCCCGATGGTGGGGGCTTAGCCACTCGAAGGATCGCCGCATGCCCACTAAACGTGCCCCAACAAGAGGCAGAGCATTTAGCTGACGGGAGTCTAACCGAGATTTCACTCTAGTCTGCCTTGCAGGGTCCTCAAAGTGCCTGAAGGATTCTTACCTTGACCCTCTAGGTGACCCAATGACGTCGCATATGGAGAAGAGCGTGTCGTGCCATCGTTTGACTAACAGGGCTCATGTTATCCAGCCCAATGCCAGGATAAGCTTATAAATCCCCGAAACGTTTTCGGGCCAGTTTTGCCTATAAATAGTTCCAGGAGCTTAAGCGTCTCCTTATGATTGAGATAGAGATTTAAAGACATGAATGCGCGCCCATTTCCAAAATACAGAAGATAGAACGTGATGAAACACTATAACCAATGATTCTTTCTGATTAACTTCAAAAGTATCAAAATATATAGCAAGCGTGCTTTTTGGGAGGTCCAAGTCTCTTGTACCCGTTGCCTACTTCAAAGCCTCCACGCAGAAAGGGTTCGCCGTAAAAGTCCCTTTCGGATCATACGTCTGCCTGATCCTCTGCATCTTTTTATATGTCTCCGGATCGTAATAAAACTGCCAAACATCCTTCATGTTCCAATCACCCACCATACGAACCCCAGAGAACCCGTCGATCCGCCTTGCTAAAGTACTTCGCTCTCCCTTCATCATTAACCGCCTGCCACTTCTCAGCTGCTTCCTTTGTACCCTGATAGAACACATCCCAAGTTCCTCCAAAGGTAGCATCTCGGAAGCAGTACGCCGTACCATTGCCTGCATTTCGGCGAAACATGGATTGTTCGCCGCCGTAGACTTGGAGTTGGGATGAGACCCAGAGACCATTGTGCTTGTCTTTGATGACCTCGTTGATACGGCCGGCGAACCAAGATGACCAACCTGTTTTGGAGAGGTCGGTTGAATTGGTGCTGTTGGTGCGCTTGTCGTAGGGGTAGGGAAACTCGCGAGGGCTGCCGAATAGCCACATGGAGGCGATGACAGACATCGGGGTGCCTTCAGGAGCCTCTTTGACAATCTTGAACTCATTGGGAACGTTCTTGATCTGGGTAAAGAGCTCGGGTGAATATGGTTCTTCATTGAGATTGACCCATTGTGCGTAAACGATAATCATTGCGTACTTGAACTTGAGAAGATCGGCAATGTTGTCCTTTCCATCATGAACACTATCCGGCAGTTTCTGCTTCAGCTCGTCCTCAGAACCGGGAAAAAGATCCAGAAGATTAGCCTGCCTGCTAACAATATTGACAGTAAAGTCGTAGCCACGAGGAAACTTGGGATCTTCTCCCTTCTGCACGAGGATATCAAGTAGAGCCTTAAGTGTCTCTCCCTTGTAAGCAAAACCAACCCAGAGGCCCTTGGAGACGAACCCAATCTCCCAGAAGACCGAATGATCGCGCAAGCATGCCGTAACCGCCGGTCTGAACGTGTCCACCAAGACAGACAGTAGAGCACTGGCCAGTCGGCATGAACACGCCGTTATCTTTGAGAAAGTCAAAGATCTCGGTGAGTTGCCAGCTAACACTAGACCGGAGGTACACCTTGCCATTTTCCCTCAGGATGTTAAGATCAATGTTGTGGCGGCGGAAGGTAGGCTTCGAGTCTAGCTGGATACCCTGGGAGCCAGTTGACGATGCACCGCTGTATTGATGACCACCTGATCTGATGGCGAGGGGCTTGCCCATTTTGGCAGCGGCTTTGACGACTTGTTGGATGTCCTCGACACTAGCTGGTTGGAGGATCTCGGAGGGGTTCATGTCACGACTGACGCCGTAGGTAGAGGTGGCGTAGATGTCACTGGCTCGCTTGTAGGCAGCTGTGCCAGGGAAGAATTGGTTGCCTTGAAAGAGGGCTCCATTTTGGCGGCGATAGTCATCGATGAGAGTAGAAAAAGCTTAAACTGGTGGATTTATGGGGAATGCGGAACGACGATAGCTGGTTTGTAGTCTGTTCTTATACCAATTGTCCGACCTCTCATCAGAGGCCACTTCAACATGTGAAATATCGCACAGGCCGCCAAATCATTCAGCTGAAAACCCAAGATGCAGGCTCCATCTCCAAATGGGATATCTGCGTTCCAACATTTTCAGCTCCCATCTCACATGCCAATAAAAACACCAATATTTACAACCAAAAAACCGGGTGAGTGCCCGTTTCATTGCAGGTATGTGATAGACCAACACGGCAAAGCGCACTAAGAAACGACCAATCTAGACCTCACCGGGACGGGCCGTGGCCAGTCACCAATCCCGCCCTCATTCTTGGCTGCGGGGAAGCTGTGCCATGCCGGTAGGCCACGGGGTTTCAGCTTGCCAATTCGACGGTGCTTACTGGACGGGAGGGGAAGCTGAGACCGTTTTCAGTCAGCCACTGAACGTTAATATTGGAAGATCGTCCGAGTTGAGATATGTGAAGATGTTAGCGTGTTTCTGCCGCGTCACGCTGGAAGTGAATTTGTCTTTGTGATGTGAACGTTGCCACTGGGTGGTATGGCAACGGAGTAAGAGCCCTACTGCGTTCAGTCGTTTTTTGAGGTAGGCTTGTACTGTTGTAGCATAGATCGTCTACAACGAGGCATGTGAAGTGAATTGAATAGGTATTGGTATTGATCGAACCCGGTTGACCGGCAAAGTGCGGATGAGCAACAACTTCTGCGCGAATATAAGATTAGTGACTGTTTCCTACACAAAATCCATATTTCTCGCCAAGAAGTCCAAAAATCCCAATACATTCAGATACACTTCAAATTACACGGCGCGCACAATGGCCCCTGCCAAAGAATCGTCGCGTGCTGGTATTCACCTCGGCGTAGACTTCCAATACGACGAAGTCAACTTTGATCCTACCCCTCCTCCCCCAAGAGATGACCCCGATCCTCCTCTGGGTATCTTGAGCAGCTTCACCGGAGCCTGGACCGGAACTGGCTTTAACAACATCTTCCGACCAAACTCCGTTGCCCCCACCACTACCACCTTCACCAATCCCGTCCTCCCTGCCCCTCCCTCTCCCCCCAATGTCTCAGTTCTCGAACTTAATTTGACACAAGAGGATCTCGTATTCTCTAAGCCCTTGGGGAAAGTTCCCAATCGTGGTCTCGAGCAGCAGAATGATATTGTCATCAATGGTGTCACGTATCTTCAGACCGTGAATGATGTTACCAACACTGCTACGGGCAGAGGTGATGGTCCCAAGACGGGTATTCACACTGAGACTGGCTTTTGGTTGAACGTCCCTCAGACCAATAACAATCCTGTGGAGGGGAACACGCTTGTCCGCCTTGGATCTATTCCTCATGGAACTACCATCAATGCTCAGGGTGCCCCTCCCGACGTAACTGAAGGACCACCGCAAATTAGCCCCCGGCTAATCAATCCGTTTGTGATTGGAAAGCCGGGTGATACCCAGGTCAAGCCCAGCCAGACGGCCACCCTCAACAACACAGCCCGTCTGCCTCAAGATCTCAGTCTCTTCATCGAGCAAGGCACTATCACCCAGGCTATTCTTGACAACCCAATCCAAATCCTTCTCGATATCAACAGTCAGCTCAACATCACAGAGACCAACACTTTCACGGTCTCTACCCAGTTCGCTCCAACCCCCGGCGGCGGCACAGCCAACATCGCTTTCCTCGTCGGCGGGAGTGGCCAAGGTCCTAATGCAGACGCCGTGCAGATGGAATCTACATTCTGGGTCGAGACCATCAAGTCTGAGATTACAGTCCAGGACTACACTCCTGGAAAGGCTCTTCTTCTACAGCCAGCCTATAAGCCGATCCAGGGCAAGACGACTCCTCCGCTGCCGACATTCTCTGTCACGCCTCCTGGTCCTGTTACCGGCCCCAAGACCATTCCTGTGACTTATACACAGATTCAGTACTCGCAGACTGTTAACCTTAATTTTAATGGGTTGACTTGGCCCCATTTGTCGCTGGCTACGCTGGTGCCTTCTCAGCCTATCGAAGTTGACTATCCGTCTTCTTAGTGGAGGGATCGTCGATGGGAGCAGAATGCACGAGGAATCAAAGCTACAAAAGAGGGCTTTAGCTCACCCAGGCAGATGAATGGATCAAAAAAAAGCCACAACAGCTAGCACCTTCTTAATGTCATCCGTATACATGTACGAAATAGCTTCATCGCTTCAGATGTGTGACCGTAAAGGCCAAAACTATTTGGCTAAGCATCAAGTCGTTCTGCTAGTCTCTTTTTGCCTGAGTTCATACCCAACTCTACTCATGACTGTACCATCTCAGTCATCCCTCTGCAACTCAACCCTATAACCAACAAGCTCAAGCTTCTCAGCCTTCCTATCACTGCCCCTCCCAGACTCAGTAAACACAAAATGATCATGTGACAAAAGCTGATACACAATGCGATCCAAAGACGCCCAAGTGTTACAGTTTCCATCAGGCCAGGCCAAGAGCGCATTCGCTTCCTCGTTATCCTCCTCAGACCCAGCAGTGAACATCATTCGCCAAGATGACTCTGTATCACTCTTAAGGCCAGTAGGATACAAACGGAAGCGGACTTCTCCAGGGGGCGTTGGAAATGTTGGCGGCAGTCCGATGCTGAGATACGTGCCTGCAATGTCAACGCCTCTGACTGTCCAATTCGTGATACGAAATCCAGGCTCATCATCGACTGAGAGAGTGAGCGTTGAGTTTGTCTTGGTATCGCTGTATGTGCCACCGTAGATCTTGGCTGCTTCATCCTTGCCAGCTTCTTCCACGGCGGGAAGTAATTCCTTTACAATTTCCGTGAAGAGAGTTTGTAGAAGACCGCCGCTGACTTCAAGGCCGGCGTTGAAAAGGGTGACGGTAAGGTTGTAGTCTGGGATCAGCACCATGAGCGAGTGATACGTGGTGATGTCACCAGCTTTGGTGTAGCCTCGTTAATAAATTTATCTTGGCCGCAATGCAATGACGTACCGCAAGAGATACCATAGAATTGGCTTGCGTGTTTTCACCATCGTCATTCTTCGACGACTTAGCTAGATCTTTGCTCATCCTCTATTTTGTTGTTAACATCACGCTGTATTTACATCATCCCGAGCGGAGATATTGAAATACGTTGATTCCGAGAGGAAAATTCAAAAGTCATCGACTCACATAAGCATGCGGTGTCCTGATCTGAGGACCAGTGTTTCTCGTGTTATGGATCTTCACGTACTTTTCCAAGAAGCTCCAAGTGGCAACGTCGATATTGAAATTGTTTTCAATGAACTCCTTGATTATTGAATAATTTGTCAGTAAAATGATGAGGTAGAATCTAGAACCTGATTATATATTAACTTACTATAATCCATGTGATCTGTGAGGGAAAGAGAAGAAGCATGTCAGCCAAGCACTTGAGTAAGACTATCCCCGTGGCAATATCTCACATTATTTGCAGGGAAGTTTACCCATCTCCATACATCCTTGGCCAGTGTGACACTGCTATCGGCTGCGGTTGACTTCATTGCTGTAGAGCCCTGCTCAAGGTTATCTTCAGCTGTGTGATCTACTTCTCTGGGCCGTTGAAAGAGATCGTTGCACGCGCATTGACATTCCTTGTCACATTTAGCCAGGAACGTAGTGCCCATTGATAAATTTTCGGAATAAAGAACTTCGGATACTGAAATGTCCCCGGCCATCCAATGCAAGGGATTACTGCTCTCAGTAGCAGAATCATTCTCTTGGTATTGAAGATGGACTGGGGACTTTTCGCAGACAGCCATTCTTGCCTTTGTAATTCTGTCGCGGCTTTGTGAAAGCTTCCTCGATGGAGCGTAGACGTCTGCACCAACATTTTGCCTTTCTAGGGATAGTATAGTCATGCGCCGCCAGAAATCTTTGTCTGCACCCTGCATATCATGGAAAATCCGTCTAGAGGTCCTCCTATCACGATTTAGAGTTTCTGGATCCGCGCCGTGGAGGACCAACTTCTCAATCGCTTCATGATTTTGTAGTTCACAGGCGATATGAAGAGGTGAATTCCCTGTATATGGTATTAGAATATGCGGCGGTATAAATAAACAAACCCTACAATGAGGTAGTCAGAATTCAGCTTACATACCTTTCTTATCTTTCGTTTGAACTTCTGCCCCAGCCAACAGGAGGCTATCTAGAAGAGGAATAAGGGGCGTATATTCACGTCCCATGTCTGTCCAAAATTTAAGCCCGAGGGCTGCTGATAACAGCGAATGAAGCGGAGTCATAAAAGACCCATCCAAAGCGTTAACATTTGCACCATACTCTGACAATAAACCGAATATTTTGAGGGTATCATCTAGTTCGACAGAGTCAGGGGGCGATAGCGGTCTCACTGACGCGCATACAAGATTGTGTAATGCAGTCCTGGAACGGTAGTCACCAGAATTGATGTATTTCTCTGGTGACGTGAATGAGCTGTTTTCGAGGATGTTCCATACAAGATCGCAGTCTCCTTTTAATACCGCCTGTTGAAGAACTGTTATTTGCTGAAACGTATTCACCATATCAAGTTTTTGATTGCGCTCTGTGAGTAAGTAGTCCACATCTGACTTGTGGCCTTGATGGATGGCCATCCATAAGATCTAAACTTTGCCGAAAAACGTTTCTTTTGTTCTCTTGATTTCCTTTTTGCTTAGCCTCCGCCTTGAGTTTGCCAATTGATCTGCAATGGCTTCGAGATGGGCTTGTACCGTTGTGCCGTATGTCAGCCTGCCACTCCAGACCGCCTTCTCAATTGCTTTCTGAATTTTTGTTTTTGGGGGACGGAATACTACACCGGCCTCTATCATCCCCGCCGTGGAAACTACCGTAGGGTTTCTCGGCGAGACAGTTAGTCCGCCATTGTCTGAGACAGAATGCCAAGGCGTCCCACGCTCCTCTGGGGTATTTGTGAGATCCTCAAAGATCTTTCGGACATCTCCGTTGTTGCCATAGATCATCGCATGCCATATTTCATCCTCTTTGTGCATAATGAGCTTATCGAGAGTAGTAGTACGCGAAGGCTGCCACCGGGACCAAATAACCTCGTACCATAAGTTCTCAACGTACACCAATATCTCGAGGAAGAAAATGAGGATGGGAAGGTTGTAGATTTCTAAAATAAAAGCCATCTTGGGGCCTGCATGGAAAACAAAGCATAGAAACAGATAAGCTGGAGCCTAGTTTCAAGTCAGTATGCTTAGACACGAGGCAGGTATTTATTTCATAACGCCATTCTACCATGCACCCGTTTTCAGCGTGTGAGCTATCATATTCGTTTACGTGCGGGATTTATCTCCGGCAGGTGTGGCTTGCCAGACTCAATATTATTGATCGTACTTAAGCGGGGGCTTACTGGCGGGCCTCAAAATGTCATCAGCTGGAGCGCCACGATGAGATATCTTATCAGGCTAATCTTGCCTCTACATGCAGAACACGACGCTCGAATGCAATGTAGATCAGAATGCAAGTCACAAAAATGATTAATTATTGGCTCTTTTTCCAGCCAGAACCAGAATACAATTATGATAACTAACAAGGCGTTTCAGCGTATAAATATCTTATTTTCTATTGAGGTCCATGATCTGAATGCGGTATGTATCGTCGGTAGAGACCGGGGCGAGTGTTTAGCCAGTACACAACTACAACTTCGGTGTTATCTAGAACCGTGGAGAGTATACTCAGTATGTTGGCTCGGTTTAACACGAACTTATACAGATCCTAAAACCAATATCTACATCTTGCGAAGACTATTGGCATTCAAGGCAAGATCCTGGATTTTGACTGACCCTTGTACCAAAATATAAGCTGTGAGTAAATTCTATTGCTTACGACATGAACCCAGACCAAGACAGCAAATATCAAATAATCCTAATATACAAGGCGGAATGGGAGAATGTGTTGAGATTCCAAAGCTAATGTTTTAATTTTTGATACTAATTGGTATGGTCCTCAAGAAAGAAAGTTTCACTGTCCCTTCTGGTATCCTCCCAATGCCCTCGTTCGAGCCTCTTTTGCAGATCAGTCGCGTAGTGGTGTACTATTAAGGCGCGTTAAATTCGTATATGACATAGCTCAGGATGGAAACATACGTTGACATACTTCTACATCCCAAGTACTCTCAAAAAGTGGATGGATATCCCAGCAGGCCGCGTCAAGGTCCTTAGAAGTTGGAGCCCTGTCAGCGCTTAAATAATCGGGACAAGGAGTCTTATAGCTATCACACCATAGAGGCTGACTGCTGGGCTCAGGAATATTCCGCGATGGTTTGGGGATCGTAACAGGTTGTGTCGATGGAGTCCAAAGCTCAGGTGATAGGGGTTTTGGTTCTCGAGTCATTTGGTCTCCGCTGCATACGACGGGCGACATGGACTTGGTCCGTAGTTCTTGTAATACCATGGTCCTGTCCTCAGTGCTCCTGCTATGGAGCTTGCGCTATGATTAGTGTATGATTGGGGATGGACAAGACGACTTATACGAACCGTCTGACATGGAGAGAGTTTGGTAGAGGGCTGAATATTGGACCGGTCAGGATATATATGGTGTGTATGACCAATCTTCTTGCCACAAGCGCAGCACTGTGAGGTAAAGAATATTAGAATTTTATTCAGAACTGCTTCCCAAACTCTGAAAGGGCCTTTGCACTCGGCGTTGCAGTGATTCTTAAGGGTCATGATTGGTGCTGAATATGTCTTTGATTGGAGGTTCCTTAACGACCAAAAGGTTGAGCTTTTCGTTTGGCTCTGATAGGGCCTGATAACGATATTTAAGTTTAGTCGACTGGGATGAGACGTATTGTCAAGCTGGGAAGCAGAGCCCTACAGAAAGTAATTCAGTATACCCTACGACTTTGTAGATTCAGCCAATTTAGACTTCAATCACACCATCTCTGTCTTTCTCTTCTCACAGCTGATTGGCTTGAATGGGACAGATCAGAAATATTGGCAAGCCATGGCGCGCTACTCTGCCGTGAAGGTCCATTCTGACACCTCTGCTGGAATTCAGCCACTACTCAACCTTGTCCGTGTCCTGGTAGCAGAAAGGCCACAAACAATAGCAAAGACAAGTTGTTTCATGTGCAATCCTTTTGTAAACCTAAACCGGCAATGAACTCATGTGCTTGTTCACAATCGTCATGGCTAACGTTCGTCCTATTACAAGGAGATTACCGAGATTGTTTTAACACCCCCACTTGCTAGGAACCAAAATGTCTTACCAGTCTCACGCCGCGCATCCTGTGCCGTTGTCTTACTTTCAGCTACACGTGGGCTATGCGAACATGTCGCCACCCGTTGGGTTCAAATGCATATCCCTTGCATGAGTCTTTACGAAGACGCCGACGCCTTGACGCTATTAACTTGGGATATCCTTACCATCCACGTTATCGATACCGATGGCTTGGGATAACTAACTCGAGCGGATACAAGAAGAGAGTGTCACATCGGAGGTTAACTAGTCTGAGACCTTGTTTCAGTTATCTGCGGTGAGGACACGAGGGAATGATTAGCGTCACCACAGCTGAAATATTACGCCGCCACCATTGGAAACTTGACGCACCTCTTGCATCGAGGTTATTATGGAAGATCGGAGTGTTGCATGAGGGCTGTTGGCCATCTCATGTCGGTCCCGCCAGATTGTCCAGAAGCCGACACCCGAATTCAGGCCAACGCCTCGGCACCGTTTATGGTGGTATTTGCGGAATACGCGTCGCTAGTATGGAATGGAAGCATAACGAGCCTTGGAATTTCTTCTTCCTGAGCTATTCCATAAGAGTTTTAAGCCGCATAACCCTCCTCATCTACCTTCTCAATACTCTCCAGTGGTGGCTGCGTCCAAAGGGAAGCTGCCCAAGCTTTTGACTACACGCATGATTGTTTCAGTAGCCACGAGTTAGTCGCCTTGATATAGATAGGCATAAAATAACATGCGGTTATAGATTTCTGGTTCACTCTTTCTATGAAACGATGTTTTCCTCTGGTGTCATATACAGTGAACAATGCCCCGGCTACATTGCCTTGAAGTATTTGAAGTTGAGACCTGTGGCTGAGGGCTGAAATTGTTAACGCTTACCTACGCTATGTCACGCAACACGGCTACTTGGTTGAGGCCATTAAGCAGGCAAGCCAGGCCACCCCTCTATTTTTAGGTGGAAACCTTCTACGGTTACCTTTCTTAATCTCAACTATAAAATAGTTTTCAATTCAGTTAACAAAATAATACAAGCTTGAAAAGTCGTCCTTTTTTGAATATTAAAGAAGTTAACAGAATTAACATAGTTATATAGTTATTACCGAGTTGAAATGCATTTTAATACCTCAATAAAAAGACTTTACAATTCGAAAACCTGATTAAAATCGACTGACTTTAACTTGATTCAACACAATGTATTACCACTGGCCGGAGTGAGACTTCACAAAGCCAACTACAGCTTCGATATCCTCTAGAACCGTGGGTCCTGTAGGGTTCCAGCCCAAAATCTCTTTGGTCTTTGCACTCGAGGCAGTGTTGTCAGCCAAAGCTCCGAACTGAAACCAGCCAAAATGCTCCGTCACCTTCTCTGAAGGGATGCTGATAACAGGAATATCCAATTGTTTGCCAACTTCAGTAGCAATATCCTTGACTGTCACGCTCTCCTCAGCAACAGTATGAAAAACGGAACCTGCCTCTGCCTTTTCGATAGCCAGACGGTACAACTTAGCTGCGTCGTCACGATGACCAGCGCACCAATGATTCTGGCCATCGCCAACATATGCAGAGACGCCCTTCTCGAGTGCGAAATTCACAAATGGGCCCATGAACCCAGAAACTCCTCCAGCTCCATGCGTGGTAGGAGGAAGTCGAACAACACTAGCTCGAACACCTTGCTTGGCAAAGTCGAGACACACCTTCTCAGAAGCCCCGCGAGCTGCCGCAATAGGATGGCTCATGTCAGGCTCGTCGTCCTCATGACCCAGCTTTCCCTGAGCGAGCATCATGGTACCTGAAGTGATAACCATAGCACGATTGCCGCCGGCTGCAACCAAGGCAGAACCCATAGCAGTAATGGCCGCACGGTCAATGGCGCAACTGCCGATAAAATCGGCAAAGTTGTGTACAAAAGCCAAATGGATGACGGCATCAGACTCAGAAGCACCCTTCTTGAGAACATCCAAGTCTTCAATTGTACCGAAAAGGGCTTCGGCGCCTTGGCTCTTGAGCTGCTCGACTCCTTTGTCGCTGCGGGCTAGGCCGAGGACTGAGTGACCGGCAGCTAAGAGCTCTTTGACGACAGCTGAGCCGACAAAGCCTGTTGAGCCTGTAACAAAAACACGCATGATGGTAGGTAGATTGAATAAATGAGGTTAAGAGTAAAAGGCCAATTTGGTAGATGATTGAAAGATTGTTTCTTCACGATTTTGGATGAGTAGAACTGTCTCGTGTAGAACAAAAGACGTGGCTCATGAACTGTTTATATATCTATTATCTCTCCGCGCGTACTTCTCAATACTCTCGGATTATCGGTAACCTCAACTGTTGTCATAGCGAAGGTTGATACCAATTGCAGGTAAACCCGCCTGGTTCAAGATGATTCTCTTGCTTGACTAAGACATTTGAATCACAAGTGGGACTATCGTTGGCCAATCAAAATGGTGCAATCCCGAGCAGAGGTTAGTGGGAATTGGCTTATTATAGCTGTAGCTCATATCAAGTCCGTTCCGGACGGAGTTATTAATCTGCCGGATTTAAGCATGCTGCTAATCTCCGCGCACTTATTCTTCGTCCGCTTGTTAACATTCAGACAGATGACAGCGAAGGAGAACCTACCGAGTAGTCAATCAAATATCTTCCAGTTATGCGTTCAGAAACGACTCCGATCACCGAAAAACGGAAAACGGAACGTGGTCGAAAGTCGCGATACGGTTGTCGGAACTGCAAGCTGAGGAAAGTGAAGGTAAGTCAGTGACGGATTTTCCCTACCTCTTGAACCTTTGTTGACCTATCGTCGACGACTCAGTGTGATGAGTCGAGGCCATCTTGCGTCAAGTGTCGGATTTACGGCGTTAAATGCAACTTCGGGTTCAACATACCAGATTTCCAGTCACTTCCGGAGGAACAAACAAAGAAAAACATGTCAAAGCAATTTACGCTTCTATCACCACAGTATTCTATGGGCAACTTTATATGGGCAGCAGATGAAACAACATTCTATATGCTCAATGCACATGACCAAGACCTTTTCAATCGTTTCCAGTGCAGAACCCTGCACTCTCTCGGCTGGTTGGTGACGGTAGAGACAAACAATAGCCGTATAATGGAGCTATCTTTCAAAGTGAGTACAACCCCGGAGTAATAATTGAGCAGCTTACAATTACCCCACAGCGTCCGTTCCTATTGCATGGTATGTTGGCCGTGACGGCTGTCCATGATCGCTACCTTAGAGTAACGCCAACTCATCGTCGATCACTTTGCGAAACCTATCACTGGTCTCAATGCACTTCATTATTGAATAAATCGTTGGACCAACCTATCGAAGAAGAGAACAAGGATCCCATCTGGGCCGCAGCTGGCATGCTTAGTATCCTAGCCTTCTCGTCTATCAATAGGTCTGCCTTGGAAGAAACTTGGCCTCTAGGACCGCCAGACTCCTCTGACCTTGAATGGTTACGACTTTGAGCTGGAAAGATGAGACTATGGCAATTGTTAAACCCTCTACGGGCAACAAGTGTCTTCACGCCAATGGCTGACACCTTTACTACAATGCATCAGCCCCTGCCCATCGAAGGCATTGATGGTGTGCTCGTGGAGCTAAGGGAGCTTTGTATGCTTGAAGAAGCCTCTACTGCATCTAACAATCCTTATTTCAGGGTTGCACATGGCTTGTCTGAACTGCTAGCAATACCTGTTGGTCAGGCTACACTCGGCAAAGCTATGAAGGTCTCAACCAAGATGCGGGGCGAATTCAAGTCTTTACTTGAGGGGAAAGATCCTATAGCCCTTACGCTCTTATACCTGTGGTATACGAGGGCACGTGAATGTAGGTGGTGGATAGATATTCGTGCCGCGTATGAGATGCCTGCTATTCGCACCTATTTACAGCGGTATTATCAAAATTGGGAACATGTTCAAAAGCTCTTATCCGAGGTAGATATGGGATCTTCATGATGTTCTAGATGCTTTGAGGAATGGGGTTTAACTAGCTATATCAGACTTGAAGCAAAGAACGGCGTACTTCTTAGTAGTCGCGTGATTCCTAGAGGTAATACCGGAAGTTCTTATTCTCAAAGTCCGTCTCGTAAGTCGCCTCCCTCACTGCACCAGACATGGTATCTCTCTCTGGCGACTCAGCATCAATGTACACTCCCTGAGCCTTGTCGCGCCTCGAGTTCTCCCAGGCTAGATACTGCCTGAAGGCAAGAATCAGACCAATGAGGATGCAGAAGATCACAAACAAGGCAGTAAAAGCCGTCTATAGGAAGACACGGGAGCAAGTCAGCCTTCAAATAAGCTAGAGAGGGTGAGGATCAATTCTTACCCCGTATTTCGGCGCCTCAGTTGGAATGAAGAACTGTGGACCAGCAATGTTGCCAGCACAGTATCCAAGGAAGAACACAGCGTTTACTGTTGATTTCTTGGTGAAGCCGGCTACATTGCTCGAGATGAGGCTTAGCATCATTGGGAATACGTTGGCGCACGATGCGCGAAGGATGAGCCCTATGTATCGACCAGCACTGTTTGACGATGGCAGCTGACGGACCAAAATGGTGCCCACCAGTGAGAGAGCCGAGGCACCTGCAGCAATAATACAACGAGACTTGCGGAATCTTTCGGCCAGTGAGGCGGAAAGGAGAACGATGGTCACATTATAGGCAGCCAGAGGCATGCCTAGGAGCAGCGACTGTCGGGAGTCAAAGTTCAAGCCTCTGATGATTAGGGAGCTGAACTGCAAGAGCGACCCGTGCGTTAGCATCGTTCCACTATATCGTATAGTAGATTTGTTAAGTGTTAGCTGAGTGTATGACTTACGTTGGCAATGAATCCATTACTCAGGGACACCGTAGTAATGACTAGGAACTGAAACCATGTCTTGGGATCTAGAATCGCCTCTAGTAGCTGTGCATTCGACCATTGGTTCGTCTTGAAACTCCTCTGAGCCACCTGAGGCCTCTGCGTCGCCCAGACTCTCTGAGCTGGGTTGAGAAATCTGGTTGTTGCAGGCGTGTCTGGGAGCCAGATATACAGGACGACAGCCCAGCCAGCTGTTACTATGCCGAGAACGATGAATAACCACTATGACGTCTGGTCAGCGTGACATGACAATACAAGGTCGAAGAGGGATACTTACTCTCCACGGTGCGAGGGGCCCGCCGGTGATGAAGGTGCAACCGTAAGCAATGAGACTACCGATAAGCGATCCTACAGCGTTGCCAACAAACCAAAGGCTGTGACGCCTAGCGTGCTCTGACGGTTTGTACCAGAGTCCTGTGATGAGCGTGAAGCCGGGACTGATAGTGGCCTCAAACGCACCAAGGAGTACGCGTAGGGAGCAGAGGGCTGCGAAATTCTCGCCAGCAACGTGACAGCCGAGAACCACCGCCCATAACAGACTGTATGACAATTATCAGCTTTGGTCGCCGTGGTGGGGAATGTGAGCTAACATGGATGCTGCGAGGACCTTGGCAATCGGGAGCTTGACGAGAAGTACGGAGACGGGATATGTGGCGCCAAGATATCCAAAGTAAAAAGCACTATTAAGCCAGGGGAACTCCTGGCCAACCAGTTTCTACAGTTCAATATGGTCAGCGATGTCAATCCCTAGCTTGCCTCTAATCTACAACATACCGTATCCTGGATGCTACCGAGGAGTGAGGCAGTATTCAGACTGCTCTTGTCGAGATACTGCAATATGTAGATCGCTATGAGGATAGGCATCAGGCTGTGAGAGTCTTGTGTCAGCGAACAGGAATTCGGTCGAATCGAGGTCAGGGGAGCAACGCTGTAGTACTCAAGTTTACGGTACAGGTACATACTGAAGGTCAATTCTCCTGACAAGAGGCTGTTCTTTCACGTTGGAGATGGAGGGATCATCGTCCTGTTCCATCACCGATAGGGTCTTCTCATCAACAACCTCGGGTTTGGTGTCAGGAGGCAAAGCCATGTTGTGTTCGATATTAGGCTGTTAAACGTGGCGACTGGCACTTGGATGTCTTTGTATATGCTTTCTGAAATATACTGACGAGCAATTGCTTCACAGGTGGAGTCGGATACTTTATATCTATCCCAGTGACATGGCATCCGAAGCGACACTAGACTAGACTAGCCACCAATTCACACTAATAACAAGACGATGGACTAAACGGGAACTCGGTTATCAAACACCCCACTACCTTTATCGAAATTGACTAGCTAACTAGGCGGGGGCTGGTTAGATTGGATAACCGTAGACGACGGTGCTGATAGCCGATGTAATCGGAGACGACCGGTTAACCCAAAACATCGCCAGTTAATCCACCTTTTAAGTCCAGTAGCCCAGATTGCCCGATGCTGCTCGTCACGCCACCACTTTCTACCCACAAACCCCTCCTGCTCGTCTGCGCTCTACAGCTGAATGTTCTACTCTGCTTGGCAGTCGTCGTCGTCGTCAACAATCACTGCTCCACATTTCTCGAGAGACGCGAGACGACAGCCCAGAAGTTTTCAGCACCACGATAACGATGCCCGATGGTTCGGCACAGATAACTATGGTGGGGAAACGACGAAGCAAAGGGCGATCTAGACTAGGTATATTGAGGAAATGGGAGTCGTACTCCAGCGACCCTCATCCTGAGATAACCTTGGCAAGGTTGTCATGCTGACCATGCACGTCTGTCATTAATTTAGGCTGTCTAACCTGTAGGGCAAAGCATGTCAAGTGTGATGAGCGCCGACCCATCTGCCGGCGATGCGAGCGGCTGAACCTCAGCTGCAGCCCTTGTTGGACTCACGAGGCAGCCTCGCCTTCTAGGAGATCATCCTTAATTTCGTCCTCAACCCGGGTGCCGCAGCCGAGAAGACGCCTTGTATCTGATGGAGGTAGATCAACTGCCCAGGACTGCAGTATCACGAGCAACAGCCAAGATATACCAGATTGGGCTATCTTGGATGATCTATCTAGCGTTTCCACATCGTCTCAGTTCCCACGAGACGATGTAGTAACCTCTATCTCTGCCAGTATGGGACCGACTCCCGCATGGGCCCATTCTCCAGGATTGTCGACCTCATCCCTGTCAAGTTATGGAGTACCCATAGACTACACCATGATACACTTATCACCCGGATCGCTGCCCCTTGTTGGCCACATGGGTTTGTCACAGACCGAGATTCTCGGCCACGATAGCCTCACTCTTGGCCATGAGGAATATGAGGCTCTGGGACACTATCAGAATGGATTCTGCTTGGTACATACCTCCAAGGCTGCCGCATGGTCTTTCCCTGTGCTTCTGCTGCAAAAAGTCTCTTACAGCGCCATTGCTATGCGCTATGCAGTGGCTGTCGCGCTCCAGGACCTCGATGTGCGACGCCATCCTGAGGATCTTACTCTAAATGGACAAGAGTCAGCGTTGGCGCTTTCGCACTTCACCCGGGCATCGTCGGCGTTCCGAGAAGCTATGCGGCAGTCGGCTAAGCCTGTCGACCACGTTGAGACTCTCGCTACATTCTACTTCCACTACGTCTACCTCACCCATCAGCGCGCTGTTAACAAGGAAGAGCTGCATAAGCTCAGCCAGGCTGTCGTGCGTTATCTCCAACGTTCATCGATAGGAGACGTCTTGACCAGATCGGTGACAGAGCCAGCTACCATGACCCCTTCCATGCGTAGCTTCCTGTGTCGTCTGCTCCTATGGGTTTACAGAGAGGATGTCTATGCGATGGGGTACCGCTGCGCTAGTGAAGTCGCGCGATACATGTCTGACCGTCCAAAGCTTCTCCGGCGACTATGCGTGGTCTCGCGGCCAGCATTGCAGTTAAACTGGGGTACTTTGTATCCAACTGAGCAACGTCTGGATGACGTCTTCTCGGCTCAACGTCTGGACATGTTGGTTCGCATGATTCAGCTTCAGTTCCAGATTACAGAGTTTGGGTGGTCAGCCATGTCAGACGAATCTTCAGGCACACAAAGACCAGAAGCGAGGAACACGCAGATAGAGGAAAAGTTAAATCTCATAGAGACGGTAAGACATCACTCGAAACTCGAGTACTTTGACTTGCGCTGATCCTGTCTTATCGCAGGACTTTTCTCCTACATTTCAGATGATCACGATGCCTGATGATAACCACCCGACCTCGGCATCCGATCTCGTTGAAAGCGCTGCCGTATTTGTGACTATCGACTATGCGTAGAAGATGATATATTACCGATGCGCAGGCATGCCTGACGATATGATCCAGGACGTCCTGGCTATGCTTATGCAGGCGGCCCAACATACTATAAGCAAAGTCCATCTCAAAGATCTACGAAGAGCGCTTCTAGCCGCTGTGATCGAGACCAAGAATCCGATTCACAAGGACTGGATCATAAGCAAGCTCGGGCCGCGCTGGAAATTGGTGCTTGGACATGTGCTAGATAGGCACTCTCGGCTGGGGCAGCACGTCAGTATCTGGACACTGTATGATCTGGCCTCGGATACCAGCGGCATTTGGTGAGGTAACGGCTCTTGTACCCCAAGTCAAAGCAATTGACCCTGGAAGAAGGAGGCCTAAGAGGCTAAGACTGGAATCTCTGGTATCTTGGTGAGCGGGTCCCTGAGGCCCACATAGTGCACCTTTAGACGACGGATCGAAAGGAAGTGAACCCTCTTGACGATGATGTCGTCTAGCCCCAAGGACAGTTCCGATAACAAGACCAGCATGTCTCCTCTAGACGTTAAAGAGAGGCTTGAACGGTTATTGTTGGTGTTGTTCATATCTAGGCCTGGCTCCTGTTTTCATATCACCGAGCAGCAACTCAACCCCCACGGGACTCTACTACCCATCATCTCCTCGATCATAGCTATAGGTACTCGACAAGATGGCTACCATTACCAGTGTTATACAGACCGCTTATCCTGACACGGAGAGTAAAGCTATCGCTGTAGTGAATAGCCAGGGCACCTTTGACGCAGTCGTCAATGCCGTCGACCAGGAATTGGGTGCTCTCCGAGAGATCAACAGTGCGGTATGGCTTTCTTTGTGGCTTACACCATGCATTAACTGACGCATGCTACAGATACACAGCAACCCTGAACTGTGTTACAAGGAGTTCAAAGCTCACGATAACATCACAGCTCTTTTGGAGTCCTTGGGCTTCGCCGTAGAGAAGCATGCCTATGGCCTTGAGACATCGTTCGTTGCAGAGTACGGCCAGGGTGGTCGCCTGGTAACCATCTGCTCTGAGTATGATGCCCTCGAGGGCGTAGGTCATGCTTGTGGGCATAATCTCATTGCCACCGCCTCTATAGCTTCTTTTCTCGGCATGGCTGCTGCCCTTAGGTAATCTGGCGCACCAGGTCGCGTGCGCATCCTTGGCTGCCCTGCTGAAGAGGGCGGCGGCGGCAAGATCAAGCTCATTCGCGCCGGTGCCTTTGAGGGCGTCGATGCTGCACTCATGGTTCACGCGAGCACGCCCTTGGACATTCCTCAACCTGCTGGTGCAGCGGCCGTCGGTGGTAGGTCGGTGGCTATCTTCCGAGGTATCTTCACTGGCGAGCCGGCACACGCTGGCGTGGTCCCATGGAATGGTGTTAACGCGCTCGATGCCGCGTCATTGACTTACAGCGCGATCAGCATGTTGCGCCAGCAGATCCGACCTACAGATCGCCTCAATCTTTACATCAAGGAGGGAGGACAAATGACCAACATCATCACGGCGAGAAGCGTAGTGGAAGTTGGTGTGCGTACCCTCACTCTGGGGGAGAATGAGAAGCTTCAGGAGCGGGTACGAAACTGCTTCAAGGGAGCTGCCCTTGCGACTGGGTGCACGATTGAGTTTGAGTCAGTGTATGTATATCTCAGCCCGTTACCACGATCTATTTACTTGAGCACATTGCTGACGATAGGCCTTTTGAACAGAATGGACACATACGCCGACCTCCACTCCAATGAGCCCCTCTGCAACGAGTTCACCGACATCATGTCACGGCATTTTGACAGCCTCTTCCACGGCGACATGCGCGATCCACACATCTCGGGCGGTGGCTCGGACTTTGGAAACGTCAGCTACGAGTGTCCATCGCTGCATCCTCTGTTTATCATTCCGACCCTCCCGACCAATAACGTGCATGCTCCTGGGTTTGCGAGGGCGGCTGGTGAGCCTGCGGCGTTCGATGCGGCTATCAAGGCAGCAAAGGGTATTGCAGTATTAGGGGTAAGACTGTTGCTAGATGAAGAGTTTGCGAAGAGGACAAGAGAGGCTTTTGAAGACGATATGAAAAAGTATAAATAATTAGTTATTCTAGTGCATAGTGACAATATCATGCCGAAGGCGAAAGAGAGAAAGCTTGAACAGCTGATATGATACATTAGGGAATAGATTACCAGGCATGAAACCACGGGAGTATTGTATTCTCTAGGCCGCGCCGCGAATTGCTACGAAGTTTGCATTGTTGGCTATGATATAAAGACATTTATGAACGGTATTTTTATGGAATGCATCCGCTCAATTCCCTGTACATCTCCTTAGTATGGCCCAAGATAGTCTAGCTGTTTCAGGACGTCGTTGCGGAGTCGACTGGTTGCCGGTCTTAGAGACGCCCAGCTTACAACTAAAACCCAAGCGACGTCCTGGGCAAAGACATACTTCAGGGTAAAAAGGATGTCTTTTTATCTGTCATTCTCACAGTTTAAAATCCTTCACGTTTAATGGTATCAAGAAACCTCGGGATAGAGCCTCACTTTTTCAATTGGTATTTAAATAATCTCATCAGTTCATATTTCGCTATTTCGCGGGACACGAGGGGTCATGTGTACCAGGTGATGGAAATTGTCATCCAGTGATTAGCTGCACCTTTACAATACTGTGGTGACACTGCAGTTTGAGGCCAGCCAGACTCACAATTTCTGTCCGGAGTTCTTCTCAGCCCTCAGCTATAAAACCCGGCTGCTGAAAACCCAGGCTGTCGTTTTATGTTTACTCCTCATTCTAGCATCAAAAGAAAAGCTATCTATCGAGCCACTATTACGCCCACCTTTAAATCACCGGCGATATGGTCACAGTGGCAAGCGGCGGCGCCCCTCTGGTAATTGCTGGCACCATTGCAAAAGAAGCAATGCTTGCTATCACAGCCGCTCAAACCGCGGCCGCTGGCTTTACTGCACAAGCTGCCCTCGCTGGCGCCGCCTGCGAAACCGCTCTCGCCGGAGCAGTTGCAGCTGAGGCCGTAGGTGCTTTCGCCGTTGCTGAAACGGCATTCGCTGCCGCCGTTGCAGCCGAAGGCGCCGGTCTCACTGCTACTGCATCAGCGGTTGCTGCCACCAACTTCTGGAACCCTGTTGGATGGACAGTTGGGGCTATTGTTGTTGGAGCGCGTGAGACGGCACCTCAGACCATCACCTGGGATTGCTACAAGCCTATTATACGCGAAGATCCGGAGACAACCGTCAAACCAATGCTGTTGGCCGAGCTGGTTGTTCATCCGATGGTTGCTCGCGTTGAAATCTCTGGCAAAGCCACGTCTGCTGGTCTTCCTGACTTTGAGATAGAGAATGTTGCTGGTGAACTGTACCTCGTACGGGGCGTCATGTTACCTTGGGGCGCAGTTGCGTACCACGCCGACAAGATGGAGGGATGAGTCAATAGGGGATGGTTGTGTGCAAAGAGGCTACAAATGGAAACTTGGTAAATCGAGCTGTTCAAAGTTGGAGTATTTTGTGTATACAGAAGCAGGGGGGTGTACATGGGCAGCGACAACCCTAGAATGTACTCGCGTGCCCTGCTATAATGTATATTTCTCAGCGACGGTACGAAAGCCTAGTCTTCTCTCTACTATACGCTTTGTGAAATGATATCTTAGGTGAACTCATACTAGAGGCCTCGTTTTCCAAGCCAGTTGATACTATCTAGTCCACAATAACTTGTTGGTCTCTCTCCTGGGCAGAGCTGTCGACCGGAGCCCCCGAACCAGCTACTAATGAAAGCCTCTCCACGAAGAGAGTATGTTCCGTTTGGGATCATGTGCCGTTATAACCAGTGAACGTCTGAAAAAATCTGACATTAGCTGCGATTTGCGGCTGAGGCACTTGGTGCTGATGTTAGTTTCTCAAACCCTACAGGGGGGCAATTGGGACGAAAACCCCACGTTTGGCATCTTGGCGCCCGCTACTGGATGTCACCCAACCTAGCCAGGGGGTTTCAAGTTTCAGGTGATGGAGAAGTTATGTAGAAGCTGAAATTATCTTGTATATTACTGTGTAGGCGTCATTGATGACGACTCGTGCGTGGTCTTTTATTATCAGCCCATGTTGGGGGGGCTTTTTGAACATAAACTGACAGTGACGCCTGATACTTTGAAGATGCTCCGATCACTATTGTTCAGTAGGTGAATCAATCCAGGCGACTTTCAACAATGCCGATATGGAATGCGACGGCGAGCATCTCTCAAAACTCGGTAGATTCTGCGTTTGTTTATTGTACCAAGACACCGGCACATCAGCCGTGCTTGGCGATGCGAAACCTACATTGCCGCCGGAAACCTTGACTGGGATTAATCCGGTAGCGCCGTAACGAAACGGCCTGCATTTTGTATCCGTAGCTTGCCATTGACTTTGGCATCGTGTAGCAAATAACTCCCGAGCTTCCGTCTGCGCAGAGAAGTAGTCACTATCTTGATGTCTGCTCAACGCTCCGTAACTGTGCCTCCTTTTAGCTGCATACGTCGTCTTGTCATCAACTGCAGTGTCATGACGCGAGAGTTCAGCAGCGATATCCGCATAACTGCAGTAGCCCCTCCAAAATCCTAGCTCAAGATAGATCATCCCAGCTGTTCAATCAAACCCCGAAACTTCTCGCAAATTTACCTCAAGCGCCCGGCAATTTGTTTGCCAAGCCGCGGTTTCAGCCAGACCCACGTTTGCCATACTGTCGGATATTGGAATCTCAACGGTTTTTGCGTCGTAATGATCGTGGATATAATGCTACCCTACAGAGTCAGTTTGAGGTATTACCCAGCCAAATGAGGTTCAGCTATCGTGGATCCACTGAATTGTCTCACTTAAAGTATTGCTAGTCTACCAGATCGGATCGATGCAACCATTTTCTTGATCCTGCGTCAGTGCATTCAAATGCTAAGTCTCAGGGTAAAGTTATGCCATGGAACTCGGCACTCGATTAGAGTGCAGCTGTGGCTTGGACTTAGTTTTCTTGCTGCCTCGTTCATCCTCGTTCACTTCTTCGCTTACATCCACGCTAAGCTATATACCGTATCGTAATATAACATTAAACCACCCCTAATCGCTTTGCGGTCCAATTAAAACCAGACTTTTCTAGCAGGATATCTTTCGGAGCCGCAATGATCAAACGGTCCACCGGCCTTTCCTCCGCAGAAGCCGGCTATCGAGGGCGCGACAGGGGTACACACGCTTAGTTTGATTGGCATCCCGCCAAATCTGTCAATTCTGAAACACAGTAGCGCAAACTATCACGGTAAACCGGCATCAATAACACGATCTTGATATTAGACGGATCGTTGAATGAAACCATCACGGCTGTGCCTTTCGATTTCCCCCTCTTATGTCTGTGAGTCCAGACCGATCCTGGAGAAATGCAGTTGGGAAATACAAGGGTTCGGCATTGGAAACAGCTAGGGATCGATGCACTTAGTAAAAACCTCGTCAGCATCGACAACCTAGTCACCTCATCAGCAAGGAAATTGCTTGGTGGTGTTCTGGAATGTTGGCTTGTATATAAGACTAGACCTGCTCTGGCCACCAACAACCATCCAATCTCATCAACACATTCTTTTTTCTAAGCTTTTATTTCTTCATTCATTCATTCAAACAAACAATTACATTACCTTCATTTCTACTATCAACACCAACGCAAACATGTTCGGAAGCATTTCTGCTTACTTCGTCACTCTCTTGGCCGCAGCCTCGACGGTTGCCAACGCCGCTGCGACAACCAAGAACCCCACCTACACCGGCCTCGGCACCCGATACGGCCTCAGCGATGGCTGCACTGAGGAGGATTGCTGGCAGAAGGGTGCATGCAGCTTTGTCGGCTACGATCTGCCCGCCGGCATTGATGGATCTACCTGTGTCTCTGAGGATATCTGGAAGGATGGCGCCAACTGCGGTGGTTGCATCCAGGTCTCCTACAAGGGCAAGTCCCTCAAGATCATGGTAAGCTCAAATACACTGTAACGAAATATACAGATATCTAATCAGACTGGTATAGGTGACCAACAAGACTGGCGGCGACAAGAACCATCTCGACATGACCCCCGCCACCTGGAGCAAGCTCACCAACGGCATGACTGGCGGCGGTGTCGACGGCATCAAGTGGAAGTGGATTGCCTGCCCTCTCCCCAAGAAGTCCCCTCTTCAAGTCCACATGCACGGTGGCGCCTCCAAGTACTGGTTCGCCGCTACCATCGAGAACATCACCCACCGCGTCAAGGCCGTCGAGGTCAGCAGCGACAGCGGCAAGACCTGGAAGGCCACCACTCTCAACGACCCCAACATGTGGATTCTCAAGGGCACCCTGCCCAACGACACTGCCTGGGTCCGCGTTACCAGCGTCAACAACAAGAAGGTCGTTGTCAAGAACGTTGCTCTCAAGTCTGGTGTCGTCACCAAGGCCACTTCCAACTTTTAGGGGACTTGGGTAGCAAGCATGTTGGAGTGGGGGCAGGGCTCGAAGTCCTGAAGCTGTTTTATTTCTTGTGTGTGTGTGTGTGTGTGTTGATAGTATCAAGCTGGACTTTATGGTTCATATGAAAAAGTTTCTTGTATATATATTCTGCTGGGATGGACGCTAGAGGTATCTCTCGGCCCGATAATATGAACCGTTTCTAATCACTGGCCTCTTGGATGACCATCACTGTGTACTGAAATGAGAGTTGGGTAATCTTCGCATTGAAAACTGGATTACTACTACAACTAACAACGTCCATAGCTTCTCGGGTATACTCATAAAATCCGCCTTCCTCTATCCTTTGTCCTTTCGTCAGTTTCCTACTCATAAACCTCACTCTAGCGACTCTCAATCTCAGTAGCACGAGGGCCCTTAGAATCCACCTCGGTCATCATGACACCTCTCTCCTTCATATCAGCCCTAGCAACCTCACCGACATCAACCGCATCGCCATCGAAATACTTAGCGATTTCTTCCATAGGCGTGTAGCGGGTCTCGATGAGGAAGAAGTAAATGACATATACCTCGAAACCGAGGAAGACGCAGTAGATGGTGTAGTACTTCCAGCCCATAGCCTCGAGAGCAATGCCGTTGATGTATTGATTGAAGAAGAGCGCGGCGGTGACACAGAAGTTGAGCCATGTGAAACCCTTGGCACGAAGACCGTAGGGCAGAATCTCAGTGGTGTAGTTGGCCATGAGACCAGACCTGCAGACTGTTAGCTTTGAAGGCGGGGCATGTTAGAAAGGGTAGCTCACTTAATGTCGTAGAAAAGACCATAAATAAAGGTCAAAGCCACAAAGGCGTAGCCGAGGGCCTTGTTGGGGTCGATGTCATATCGTGCCGAAACAATGGTCCAGAAAGTGAATATGACGCAAGTTCCGATAGTCGAGGTAAGATAGATAGGTCGACGACCGAAAATATCAATGAAGAATGCAAAGGCTGTGTTGATGATCAAGCCCTGTGTCTTCATACCCGCATTGATACCAAGCTGAGTCTCGGCCTTGGTGATACCGACAGCATCCATGATACCCTTGAGGTAGTAAGAGATCAGACCGTTGCCACTCCACTGACTGAAGAAACCAAGGGCAGTGATGAGACCAATTCTCTTACGGTTGCCAGGAGTCTTGAGGAAGTCGACCCAGGCTGTCTGTCCGACCTCCTTGTCGAGGGCGATAGCGGCCTTGATCTCACTGAACTCGAGTTGGACGAACTCATCATCGGGGTCATCTTCAGCGTGGTAGTGGGTGAGGACTTTGAGAGCTTCGTCGTGCTTATCCTTGCTGAGGAGCCAACGGGGACTTTCGGGCATCCAGAAGATTCCGATGAGGATGACGACACTACAGATAGACTGGAGAAGGCTAGGAAGTCTCCAGGACCAGTTGCTCTGCGCAAACCGTTAGCCTCATGATAAATTGACAAGTGATAGAGTGGCGTACCTTGATCTGAAGTGTTCCGTATGTAACCCAACTAGAAATGAAAGCACCCGAGTGGTAAGAAGCACCACTCAACGTCACGAGAATAGCACGATCCTGAGGATGCGCGATCTCAGCGATGAGCAGAGGCGCCGATCCAAGAACGATGCAATCACCAAAACCCAGAATGATACGTGCCGCAACAAACATGCCAAAGTTCTGAGCTCCAGCCTGGAGACCAACAGCGAGCAGCATAAGAATACAACCGATCTGCACACCAACCTTACGGCCAGCCCAATCAACCAGATAAGGCACAACAAACAGTCCAATAAGAGAACCAAGACTCATGGAGGCGTTGAACAGACCGAGGATGGAACCTCGTGGGTGGTTAAAGTACTCTTGCCAGTAGGATAGGGTCTGAAGACCGTTCATCATAGAACCTGATCTTGTTAGCACACTGTCCAAGTTGAAGTGGGGACACGGTTGAGTTTACCATCGAAGCCATTGGCAGTGTTGGTAAGAATGAGAATAACAATATAAAAGTACAAAATGCGCATGTTAGGCCTCTTCCACCAAGGTACACGAGCAAATTCCTTGCCAGCAAAGAAGAAATGTCCTTTGGCTGGCTTATCAGGAATGACCTTTTGGGTCCGCTGGGGAGGAGTGAGAAGACCCATGATGCCTGTAGCTTTCACCAGAGACTGTGAGTGAAGATCTGAGAAGGGATCAACACTGGGGAGATGCAGTAACTTTATATCACTGACTCAGAGGATCGACTTAACCAACAGACCGTTCCATTCATGCTCCCCAGGGCCAGCCATTGGCTCGGTTTGCCCCAAATTGAAGCTTCTTTCCCCGCATGTCTTTATCCGAGCTACGAGGAACGAAAATCATCCCCATGGGGAATTTGCATACCCAATTGGCACGAAACGGTTAATTATGGTGATAGACAGGCGTGGTCAATTAGCCTGTTGGGCTTCAGCGGTTAAATGTTAGGCTGAAAGCTTAATCAAGGACCAACAGATTAGAGTCATGTGTCGCAGAACATGCATTTCACACCAATAGGCTGGGACCGGATATACAAAGCGTAGCCGAGCCGACTTCCAATCTCAATTGACTTGGCGTTATCTACCTACTCTACCTGCAGATCGACGACTTCAACCGTGACATTCTCCTGCGCCAAGGCGAACACGCCGATGACGGGACCTACAAAGTCTGGGCCGGTCGTATCAAGCGTATCAAGCGTCGCAACATGCTCCCAGTCTGTACCGGTTGTATAGAATACCCGATATTCCTGCTCAGTGTACTCAAAGCGGAATTGGATGGTGTCAATATCCCTGTCCAGCGCGCGCTGTTCCGTCTTTTTGAGATCCTTGGCATTATTGACGAATTCGTAAACGACCGCTCTTTCAGCGGTGTCGTAAGAGACCCGCAAGCAACGGTGTTCATCTTTGTAAACTGCCAGCCCGGTCTTGACCTTTGAGGATGCGCTGATCTTGAATGTAGCGCTGCTTTGACCTGCGTGCAGACGCTGTCTCTTACCCACAAAACTAGGTGATTCCCGCGGGTGCGACAGATCGACAGACGATGATGTTACACTGATCGTCTTGCTTCCGCTGTCAATCTTGTAGTTCTCCAAAACTGGGTCTCGGATGTACAGGAAATCCACGCCCTCCACTGCTGTCAATCCCTGCTCTGCGTTTGCACTCGCGAGCCGGGATGTGTTGATTTCAGCCTCGACTGATTCAAGGCGGAGCCAATCATCGGTCCACTTTGCAGGCGTGAGATGTGACTCTCGTCCCATGTTGTATCTCCCATCTTTATCTCTGCGGACTCCGAGAAGAACTCCCCACCATTGACCGTTTTCGTCCTCAAAGACATCGCAGTGGCCTGTGTGCCGGATGTACATGTCTTTGCTTGCCGGGACTAAGATGGGGTTCTCAGGGCATGGCTCGTAAGGACCCCAGACATTACGGGATCTGGCCATGGTGATCATGTGGTCCTCGTGGGTTCCTCCCTCAGAAATCATGAGGCAGTACCAGCCATTTCGCTTGTAGATATGCGGTCCCTCAGGGTAAACACCACCTGTCCCCTCCCAGAGGATCTTCTCTTCAGACAACTTCTTGCCCGTCGTGATATCAATCTCAAACTGGGCGATTCTCGTGTACGGACCAGGTGACTTGGAGCCCTGGATATATGTCTTTCCGTCATCATCAAACAGGATGCTGGGATCAATACCATCAAAGTCATACCAGATCAAGTCGTCCCATTGACCTGACCAGATGTCTCGGGTTCTCGCAATAAAGTTCTGCAGAGCATACCGAGTATCCTCCGTCGCTCTCACAACATTCGTGCAAACAACGTAAAAAGTACCATTGTTATAGCGAATTGTTGGTGCAAAAAGGCCACCAGTCGCGAGCATGACTTCACCAACATCTGGCATACGGTTGACTTCAGTGTCTGACTGTTTTAGAATGGCCTGTCCCGGTCTACTAATAACATTTCCTAGATCCGTCAGCAACAATACTCGTAATAAGGCATGTGCCACCTACCGATATGCTTCCACGACACAAGATCCTTGGAGGCGTAGACGGGAATACCAGGAAACATGTGAAAAGTGGAGTTGACAAGAAAGTACCACTCGCCGACTTTGACGATGGACGGATCGGGCGAGAAGCCAGGGATGATGGGGTTGGAGGGCGACATTGCGGCTGCAGTATCTGGTCTGTGCTTTGTTTTGCGCAGGCTTGACCTTTTCGAGATGGCAGTTGGCATCGGCAGCTGAGTTGATACTTATGTTCCTTCACAATGTGGACAAATGCATGAGCTGTTGGTGATATCCGGCTGGGCTGAATGCATTTATCCACCCAATCAGATGACGCTGTACGGAGGGGACGGAGGTTGATGTTGGTAGGTAGTCTTATCGACCCATTGGAAATAACGCGTGGATTGTTGCACGAGAGTATTAGACAATAAGTGTGGGGTGATGGTATGATACTTTCATCAACAGCACCCCGTGTATGTTGGTTATCAAAGTGCAATGTTTCTTTGGCAGACATGATGGGAGGATGAATTTGGCTTACCCTGCACCTCTTACATCGTGGTCCTCAAGAGGACTGGACGCACACAAACCACTGCTGTTGGCTACTCGCTGAGGCTGGAGTATTTCTTACACAGTGTTATCTTAATTCAAATGAACGGCCATAGGTACCATTGTCATAGCCAAACCGGTAATTAAATAAAAAAATTATAGAATGTATTATAAGTATTTACAAATCCTTAAAGTAATGCCTAGATAATTGCATAAGTAGTTAATATATATTTTTAATTTTAAGTTAAGTAATTCTTTTAATTTTATTAAAAGGTTAAATATCTTTATAGCCAATACGCAAGGTACAGCTAATAGGGTCTTATATAATAAGAATAATATAATATAATGCTTATTTTTTAGCATATTACAATATATAGCATTATACACTACGCTAAAGAATATAATAACCTTAATATTAAGTCTTAAGGTTATATAGCTACTGCCTTAAACCTTATAATCTAACTAAATAAGTAGCCTTAATCTATAAGTATAAAAAAGATATTTTCCCTAGCCTTAGCAGGCTATATACCCTCTTTGTCATTACCCTAAACAGGTAATTAGCACTAAGGCTCCAATACTAAAGGCCTAATTCTAAATAACCTAAGAACCTCTAAAACTATTATAAAATACGCTGCTATGTAATTAATATTAATATCAGGCAACCTAGCTATAACCCTCTAGCTATAGCAGCTAATTACTATAAGACTAGATCTTTAACTAATATTAATAATCTCTATTTTTATAATATTCTTAATTTATATACCTTCTTTAAGTATTATTAAATTATAAGTAAAGACCTGCTATATATTAATAGATTACTACTAATATAGTAAGTTAAGCTTATAATCTTTAATTACTAAGTAAGGCTTTTTAATATATAATCGGATATATCTTTAGATATATTATAAGCTAGATACAGGCTTTATAAAACCTTTATAATTAGCTAGAATAGGGTTAAGACCTATTAATAAAGTAATAGGTCTTTGTAACCTAAATTATATCAGGTGGCAGTAATAGTATATATTAGGTATAGTTTATAGAGTTAAAATATGCAGTTATAGTAATTAAATTAACAGTGTAAATATTATATTGTAGGAATTAAGGGCAATTACGGCGTAAAGAAGGGGAAGTAAGGGGAAAAAGAGAGGGAAAAAGGTAAATTAAAAAATAAAGGTTTTAGCGTTAGGGGAAAAACTGTAAATGTTAGTAAACCGAAGCTAGCTATATAGGTTAGTAATAGATTAAATCAGGCCCTAAGGTAATGCAGTATAAAGAATACAGGTTAAGGAATAACACAGATAATTAACACTTGGGTTTTATCGTGTGCCGGGGTTGGCCACCAGCGCCGTGAGGCGCCGGAGAGACTTTTAATTTTATATTTTCTTAAATTTAAAATCCTGCCTCTACAGGAAATATTTCAATATGTCTTCTATCGAAGCACGCATTTCCACCTTGTCTCCGGTTTTTGACCTACAGTCTGACCATGACCGTACCATCACCGTTGACCTTTTCCTCCAGCACAATTGCCCAATTACGTTCCCGACTCAGAATCTCCGTCTCTTCGACTTACCTACGAATAAAGGCGGCCTTACTTTCACTGACACCGAGACTGGCACCGAGGCTTGTCAAAATAGAATCCTTATCTACAGGCCTGATCATAAAGGATCTTTACAAGAGGATAACTAAAAGTATTTCCTGACGCTATATCCTGGATAGAAATATACTATACAAGCATCTATATCACGGATGGAAAGTGGAATAGGAGGCATACAACTCCGGCCGGGAAGCACAGCCAAAGAATACAGGGAGGCAAACGAAGCGCAACCCAAGGTTTGGAAATGATGGAAGGCCGGGAATCTCGACAACGGCAAGACTTAAAAAATTAGAATTGATCAAGAATCTACAATCAGGAAATGGTTTGAAGGTAGCACGGCAGAACTTCTTTGCAAGCCTTTAGCTGATAGGACTGATGATAAGATGAACAAGAAGCCGTTAATGATTAATGTAACTCAGCCAAGCGAGTTTACCATGATACCACTTGACACGGATGGGAGTCTGGACTGGCCTTAGTTAAAATTCTATAGTATACTGTACTATTCTATCTCATTCTCGGGCACACTGTCCCTTAGTAACCTAATGCTAAATGGCTTGACAAGGTGCTATCATGTATGCCAGCAATAAACATCGCCCTGTATTCTTGCCGCGGTACTGAGCTGGTATGTACCTCTCGGTGCGGGTAGCAAACCACTGTTGCCATTTGATGACAATTGGGTCATTGTCCAGCTCCACGTCACGTACGTAGATGGTATCGCCTTTCCCGATCAAATCAGACATTGTAGTGGTTGTGTAGACTATGAAGGAAAGGTGCTCGATACAGAATGAAAGGAGTGCGATGGTAGGCTGCCTAGACTGCGCTGATGAGAGTGTTATTTTGGGTTGATAGACCTGACAACTGATGCTTATATCATGCGCCCTACTCGAAATGTGTGGGAGACAATATGTAGGCCCTCGGGATGTCCACTTACCTAGCATAAAGTATCCATACCAGAGCGTAGCATGGCATCCTAGACTCCTCACGCATGTCCACTGCATAACAGCTTTCGGGGCTTGGCTTTAGTGGCCCATTGAAAGGAATTCCGCTTCGACTGAAGCTAAAAGTCAATTCGAAGCAGTAGGCTATCCGTTTGTGATGAAGCGGGCCGCACACCTAGTTAGTAGTTAGAATGGGGATATCTCTGATTCAGCCGCTGTGCTATACATCGCGGCGATCGATGAGATACAATGCTGTGGCCACGATCTCAAGCATTAGAAGTACTTTGTCGCCTCAGGAGGAATGTGATATCGTAGCCTAAGAGCGGTGATTAGCCTCTATGGCTGCAGTAAATAGTCTTGTGCTACCAATAAACCCGCACATCACCGGGGCTCATGTGGCCAATGAGAATTGACAATTTTGCGTCTATGGGAAAAATCCAAGACATGCAGCAAGCTATCGACATCAACATCCCGGGGCTAATTACCCGTTGCGACCAAATTCATCTAGTTTCCGATTTTGTATAACGCTCAAGTAGCCGACGTGGAGCTGTTGATTCATCTGTGGGTCTTTTAGCTTCCTTTCGCTCACCCGTTCGTAATAGGCTACACGCAGAAGGTCTAGAAACAAGTAATGCTGCAAAGCCACCACGCTCTCCGCCGCATTAGGAGGAGAGTGGGCTGGCTGATATTCACAAAAGTTTCTAGCTGGTTTCACCTTATCTGCATACTTCAAAATTCGATTGACGATGTTCCACCTCGCTGCCGGATTGAACAGCATAACAGCGAAGGCGGTGAAAACCGTCGTGGCCATCCGATTTCTCCGCTTGACCATTCTCGGGTTGCCAGCCAGCCTCAGAGAAGCCACTACACTACCGACGTGTGAACTCATCACCGACGTTGAATATTTTCGAATGCTGGTCTTTGCTTTTTGTTTCGGACTTTGTTGACTTTGGTGGCGGGAGGAAGCGATCCCGGGGCTATACCCGTATGTTCCGTGCAGCGTGGCGTATGCCGTTGACAAAAGAGGTGTAAACAAGCGAACGGGCCGGTTTAGCGTGTCTAGTTGAGAGCTAAGCGTCAAGACATGGAGATCAACAGCTCTGGTCTTTCTTGGAGAACCCCACTTTGCTCAGTGAGCGAACGCTGCGAGGTTCGTTCAGTAACGAGTCAATAAATCAGCCTGATTCTCCTGCTCTAAATACATTTATGGAGTCATTAAAGCGCAAGTAATGAGTGTAGGTAGACTCCCGTTGGATTCGTGTCGATCACTGCCCTCAGAAGTGTCAGCAAGGCTCGGGCCCTTCCACTAGTCATAGCAGTTGAGGATACGTACACAGCATCATAATTAGTGTTAATGCTCATTGCGCAAAGATGAACGCTATTTGGGGGACTTATATGGAGCTCAGCTGTAGCAAGAGTGTGAGGCTGGCTGAAGTGGTCCATCTTTACCTGAAACCGTCAGAGCTACCTAATACATAGTTTCCTCGGATAGCCGATTACCCCTTGAACTGCCAAGGAGCTACACGGCTAGAAGGCACGGGAAGGAGTCAGGTGCTCCTGATTATCGTGGGGCCCATTCTCGTCTGGCGAACCCATGTACCGAGTGACTTGGAATAACTGCCAACGGCCCATCCTCCTCATTCCACGAGAAGATTCAGCTAGAGTCTCAGAAGTCAAATCACAATCTTGGCTGCTTGAAGGTAATTCGGATTGCAGCAACTATTGGTGCGCGGTCACATGGACCTATCGTGCGTAGATAGGCTTGAATTTATTAGTCCAGGCTAGCCTCTTCTGAGCCAGCCATGATCATATTTCGTTTCCGCCAGCCACAACCGTTATATCCCAACTGTTTCAGGAACGGCCTAACTGCAATCGAAGCGTTACAGGATAAATCGTACCATTTTTGTTCTTCCTGAGGTTCAAGGTGTCCAAGTCAGTGAAGTCACCGTGTATACGTCACCACCTAACATTGAATTCTACGCAAGCCACTCTTTTTGTCACATTTCTAGGACGCCCTTGACTGCTATCACTCCACTTTTGGTGATCCATTGCCATCATGCCGCTGTAGCTCTTGAGCCTGATCGCTGCCGAGCATGTAAGTTTTATTCCTCTATCTTTCAGTAACTCCTTAGGCTCTGTTTATCTGACATTTCTTTAACACTTTTGACGCCCATTTTATGGAATGTACCTCGCCAACTGTCGATAACGATGGTCGAATCCGGTGGCTATATCAATCAATGCAGAATCATGCAAGGTATCAATATTGTTCGATCTCCTGTCGGCAACGTGTACGTTGCTCAAACTTAACAACCACAACAGAAAACGCATGTGATTTTGGAATTGGGACTTCATCGAACCTTGCGGGCTGACAAGCAACCCACGTACTTCCAATGGAAACAATCGCCATCAAATCGCTCAAAGTTTAACCCTGCTTAGCGTGGCCGGGGGTCGAGATAAAACTTCTAACCGCGGCCTCTGTACACAGTATGTTGGTTTGGTAGACTCGACGACCCTTAGCATCAAAGCGTGTATATAAACCCTACAGGTCCCTCAATTTCTTGCTCTCGATTCATATGGATCTTCACAAGACATTCAACAGCCTTCTCATAATCAATTACATATTATCACAAACTCAACACCATGCTTTTATATAAAATAATTATCAACAACGTCTCTGGACATAATCATACCTATGATATAAGCTGGCCAGGCGGAGCTGGCCAACTTGACGTCGACGACGATGAAATCGAGCAGTTTTCTGAAACACTCAACGTTGCCACCGGTAAGTTCACAATTGCTACTAAAGGCATATCTTGCTTATTTAAGCTATCTTTTAGTTCCCTTCCAAGTCAGCGTGAACCCAACAGGCAACCCACATGTCGGCTTTTCTCTCTCTATCAACACTCCTATTGGTACAACAGCAAATGTGAAGCACAAAGCTGACGGTACCATGACGGTTACCCATCCAACAAACTAAGACGTCTGGGCAATGGCTTAATTCACTCGTTCTCACTACTGGTTTGTTGGCTCCCTTTCAGTCACGGGCGAGAATTTCGGTATCAGGGCTTGTACATCCATCTCTGCTTCTGTCCATGCCGACCAAAATGGCAGCAAGTACGAACTCAGGGTCTTCGCCGTTGAGGAGGGCAAGGCCAACATCGATTGTGTCCCCAAGATTGCCGTCATCAAATATGCTTGCAACGGGCTTTCTGATACCCCCATTTGGGACTCCAGCTATATCACCGAGAAAATAAGAGATACGAGGCGGTTCTTGATATATATTAGGGTTAGATCACAACTTGTTGGTTTTATATGTTTTGCCGAGATGTCACTCTATTAACTGGTTGGTCTGTTAGTGGTTGGATCTGAGGAGGCTATGAAAACACAGGTTCAGTCATCTACCCATATTGGGGTAGTAGCTTGAGGATACTACAGAAGCTACTACAATTAAACTTGTCATCAAAATGCGCTTCGGATTCGTGTGAACTACAGCAACATCCACTGAAACGGCTAATCGCAAACCCTGACGGAGCTTCTTACAGTGGCTTAGCTTAAATCACGTCCAGTCTCAGCCAGCCAAAGGCGGGTTTCCGCCAGCCACAACCGGTGTATTCCAACCGCTTTTGGATTGATCTGGCTCAAAGCGCAACCATGCGAGACAATTTACATCATTTAATTTCCAATACAGTGATAGCCCCGTTGATGCCTTTTGTCTACCGCATATGATCAAGGTCCATCAAAGTGTTTTGTCCACACCTCGTCGCAAATAGCCCCTCAATAGGTATACAGGATAGATCTTTAGCTAACATATTATCTCCAATCTCATGTACCTTGTATCCCTTGAAAACGGTGGAGAAACGCTCCTCACCACGCCCCATTTAACGTCATAGATATTATGGCTGATACTCCAGTAAAATTCATATCCATCCCAGTAAGCGAAGCTCAACTCTTGGGTCTCTCGTCCTCGGCCGTCAAGATAGGTAATCTGAATGAGGGAGGCCTTCAGCGCGCTCAAAGGCTGCAACATACTTTTCGCGTGCTGGGTCCAGCGTAAATTGGGCCGGGCGTCTCCTTTACCTTTGCTTTCACTCTCCTCCTGTAGGATAGCTGTCGAAAGCTTGCTTTTCTAAGAACACTGTCACACTATGGTGGTGAGGATCTTGGATGAGCGAGACAAGGCGTTCGCTGGGAAGGACAGCAGTAACATCCTGCGTCGAGCCACCCTGCTTCTCGTCATCCTTACCAAATCTAGACAGAGGGCCATTTTGTCCCAATTCGTCGTAGACCATCTGTGTTCTGTTCTTGTTTGGGTCCATCGCCGTGACGGGTTGCATGACTCTACAATCGTTGTGGGCGTCGGTGACATTGTCAGTTGTATCAATGCATCTAATTGGCAAAAGCGAATATTGGCCAATCAAACCGACGTTATGTCTCCGAACGGATCAAAGGATCTGTTTGGAACAAAGAATGTTCTCTGGGCTTCCGTCAACGGGTGCTTTTCTGGACTTTCACCAATCCCATACATGTTGCGGGAAGATGTAGACCATAAAGTCAAAAGGTAGGCCTGTCGCAGATGCCGAGATTCATAACAGCAGCTATAGTATATCGATATCATCCCGGCATATCTGCATTCGTCTATGTCGAGCTGTCAGTCTCCGAGAAGCTGTCGAGTCTTACGATTTGGTCAATGTCCCTAACCCCTCCCCTTCCTTGATTGGTCCGCCAGAACTACCGACATAGAAAACTTGGTGATGCATGACGTGGCGAAAAGTTTACATTCAACACCTTTGTAATGGTATTGCTACCGTAAATAATCAGAGATTTGACACATGAAAGGTTTTCACTACAACTAACATTGTGCGTTGCTTTGTGAGCCGAGGTTGTCTTCCGCTTGGTAATCAGATCGCACGGACATCAGACCTGAGCCGCAAGCGCCGAGTTCGAGTTAAATACAAAGCTTGTTTTTTAGAGTCTCTTTTTGGCCTGGGGGTGATCCCAATCGAGGAACGGGCCGCAATAGAACGGGTACCACTGAGAAAAAGATCTACTTATCACATGCATATGAGTTTGCACATAGGGTGGGTCACAGGCATCGGCAAGAAGGTTTAAAAACGACAGCATACCATTCTGAGGATGCAAGGTTGACAACGTTCTAGGCTTCCAAGAGCCCTTTCTCTATGAGATTTCTGGGCTCACGAGCTTCCTTTTGCTCAATGTTCTCACGCTTCTGACGGAAGTTCACCGCTCCATACCGCAGCAGCTCTCCAAATGATCCAGGCATACAATCCTGTCCCTCGTTCTGATCCCACAAAGTTCCGAGATGTGGTGTGTGCGTCAGATTCTTCGCCCGTGTAACCTTTTGAAAGCTTGATTTGGCCAACAATCGCCATACGAGCTTGTACGCATCCTTGTAGTCTGTAGAATCTGGGTCGGCATCAAGACGAGTAGTCAAGAGATTGTACATCCGAGGACCAATACCATCGAAGCCCAAGACCTTCTCACCGCCCCAGACCTCGTTCAGGGCGTCAATGCAGAGAATGTTACGCTGCCAGTATTCAGAGCTTTTGAAGCCATCGCCCGTGTCACGAACCAAGCACAAGCGTTGCCAGCACAGAACCTGGGCAATGTACTCTAGAAATTGAGTGACCGGCACCTTCCAGTCCCAGTGAAAGTCCGTGGCATCATCATAGCGTATGTCTTTGATGAATCCGAGCAGGGTACTGTCGCTGATACCTTGTTGGTTGGTTCGACCATTCCACAAATGCAGGAAGAGCTGGTGCCTGCGCCATGGTTCATTAGCCCCTGTCCATCGCTTTCACATCAATGCTTACCATTTCTCTATGAAGGTGTTGTTCTTCCGAGTGGCAACGAAGTGATTCGCGATCGTTTGGTCATACAGAACCGGCACCGCGATCTCGTACGGCGAATCTGGATCTGCAAGTAAATCCCAGCAAATGCGATCAACGTGTCTAATCAGAAGGCACCCAACGTCCATACTTATACCCCCGTAACGGAGCAGAAGCGGACCCCGGACGCAATCAGCCGAATGTTGCCCGGCATGTTGACCATCCATGGTTCCGCTCAAGAACGCCTCAGGCAACATCTCCTTGTCGACAAACTTGAGGACGTGGTTGGGGGAATTGGGTACCATATCAAGCAATCGAATGGTCCAATCAGCTCCGCAAATGCGCGCCCAACCGATGACATTTCGCTGGCACCAGGGAGGAATAGCACGTATACCTGAATCCCAAAAAGCCCAGATGTTCTTCTCAGAAGCTACAGGCTTGTACTGCTCAATAGAGGAAATAATCTCTTCATCGGTTCTAAGGTCAACCGGTTCAGTTGCCTCTAGTTCCGATTGATACTCGGGAGGTATAGCGAAATGCATGAGGCGAGTTTGGATGAGGGGGGAAGTGAAAGAAATGAGTCTTCTATTCAAACAAGCTTTTAGAGATGATGAATATCTTGTTTCCAAGTATTCTTGACTCCTTTATAGCTTTTTGTCTGTTATAATTTCCAGCGGTGTGATACAATTGATATTTCTATAGCGCCTAGATTGGCAATCTTCCAACTGCCGAGCCGAGAGAGCCCCTGCTCGTCCGCTTCCTCTTATCTCTTCTCGTATCCAAAAGGTCTCGCTGTAGATTTGAACTTACTTTGAGGCTAACCCTCAAACTCTTCCTTTCGGTCATTGATCGCCATTGTATACGTCGGTACCCATTTCCAAACTCTATGCAGGCTGTTGATCCCTGTATACGGCCCGTCCCATCCTAAATCCGCGGGTAGCCACGTATCATCATGGTAGTGGGGATACTAAATGAGCTTACAAGATCGAAATACTCGTATTGTTAGAACAATGTCTTCCCCATATGCAGCCATGGGCCATCAGACTTCCTGCGGTAAGTGAGTCATTACAGCATGTACCGATCAGAGTGGAGGAACGGCTCCTTGGCAAGATAAGATCCAATTTATTTGAGAGTTTTATAGTAAATACAACCTCATACTGACATGTGGTACCAATTGTTAAGCTAGCTTCACTCCCTGGAGTATCGAACGTGGAGGGCCAGAATGGCTTGCATCACCAGAAGTGACGCGCGTCCAGGACTCGGACACACAACAGAATAGCAACCCATCCATTAAACAGCGACTTTACCTCTGGCCGGCTGGGTGACGAGGACATCTAGATAGTCCTTCGGGTAAAAGCTAGGTAGAGGCTCGGCAGAGCCAAGGTAAAGCCGTCTCGTATACCAGCAACGAAGTCTCTAGCAACATCTTCGTGTGCCAGTCCAACATTATACTTCACTAAGATCTGACTGGCTACAAACCGAATTTCCATCAGACCTAGCTGCTTTCCCACACAAGAGTATTGCCCTATAGTACAGTGCAGGTGTTAGCTAGGTCAATACATCTGGACTTGGGGATATCATTACCAATTGAGAATGGAACAAAAAGAGAAGGGTCCTTCGTGAGCTCCTTCTTTGTTGTTCAGCGCTCTGGGATAAACTTGTCGGCTTGCGTAAAGAGTCTTTCATCTGAGTAGACAAACTATCTGTTAGATGTAAAGCAAGATTATCGGACACCCTTACCTCGATTAAACGTGTAAGTTGGAATTGTTACTATCGTATCGCTTGGGAGATGCGTGTTGCCAATATCAAGACCCTCAGGCGGAGTCACTCGCTGTAAGCCTGATGGGATAGCCGGATAGAGTCTCATAGTTTCGTTAATGCAAGCTTGCAGATATCTGAGCTTTGATAGACTTGAATGGTCCGGCTTGTCATGCTCTGCGTAATGTTGATCAAGTTCTCTTCGTAGTGTAAGGCAAGTTTCTGGATTAATCGCCAGCTCGAAGAAAAGACAGGTAAGTGATGCCGCAGTAGTATCGCTGAAGAATGGTTACTTCAGACATTATCTAATCGCTATGTAGGACATCTCACCTGCCCGCTACAGCGATAAGCTGAGCATCTCCACGTAAATTGATATTATCTTGAGCAGTCGGCTTGTTGAGAGCGTTGTAGACAGAGAGGATCCATGAAAATACATCCGGCAAATCCGGCTTATTCTGTAATACGAGTCGTCAATTCAACATACAAGGTTCTCACCAGATCTACCTTTGCTTACCTTCTGTCTCCAGTCGACTTGTTGCTTGAGCCATTCCTGAAACTCGAGATTCTTCTGATTTAATATCGGAATGCGTTTAAGCATTGGAAAGATCCAGGACAAGTGACTCAGAGAACCAGCCATGAGCATGTTGGAATGGACTAGTTCCATAAATGTGTGTGCTGTTCCATTCTTGAGCATATCGAAAGTTCTCCCAAAGGCCAAGTCTCCCATAACATCAAAGCTATAAAATTTAAACCATAAAGATGCGTCGATCGGGGTGCCTTGGGATGCCTCTATCTGCTCAACGAGTTGGGAAGTGTAACCAGCCACGCGTGCTTCATACTCTCGAAGTGCTTCTCAACATGTTAGCCGAATTCGCCTAATATCAATAATTCACTTACCCTTGGAGCTGAACGCCAAGTCCCATGCATTACGTCGATAGGCATGCTCCTCTTTATCTCTGGTCATCTGTAGAGCTTTGATGGGGTGTTCGATGCTGTACCAAGGGCCTTTAGTACAAGGGGAGCTGTTCGAATGGAGAGCTTGCAAGTCACGCGGATCTATGATAGATAGCTCGCTAGGCCCTGTAATATGTGAGTAACACCGCGTTTGATGGTTCCTTCTTGTGATGAGCAGGTCAAAGGGGTACCAGCATGAAATAATTACTCACCAATCCGAACAATATCCCCATACTTTCTATGCAACTGCTGCACCTCCTCAAAAAGACAAAATTTCTTGAAGGCGCGAAACGTAATGTACAGATTAGACAGCCTGGCCCAAAAAGGGCCTGGAAATCGACGCAATCGGTGGAACCAGCCACGGTAGATGAGCATGCTAATTGACAGTCCTATCAAGGTTGATAGTGTGGAACATGACGATATGGCAGTGACTTTCCATATATTGGAATCTTCACCCTCGACAGCTCGAGCAACAAAGTATATCAAAATGCTTTCGAGGACAGCAAAAGCTTGCAAGATGTTCAAAACGTAGAGGTTCCATTCACCTCGCCGGAAAATGAATAGATGAGTCAAAACGCCTAGTACGAAAAAAGGCCATAATTAGCCGGACCGAAGTGAGCCTGTAAGGTAGCCATCGGTATCTAAGTTCATGAGGTTGTTGCGTTAACGAAAGAAACTATTTTCTGCCGTTCAGGGGACATTCCCACGTGAGCTATTTATCATAAGATCCATGACTGAAGTGACAAGATTGTTCGAGACACCCATCGTGACTATATTAAGGTTGTCTCCCCCCCGAGTGGTACCTTAATAATTGGAAATCCCGCTATGACCTCGCCAAAGCGTATGAATATTAGAGCTAGCAATCGAACTTTATTCATGACCATAATCTAGACCCATCCTAGTTCACCCTTTCGTGAAAAGCCGGGTTTGTGATCTAAGCACTTGACAGCCCCCTCAGCTGTACTATCAATGCTAAGAATTGCGGCATCCTCCAGGCCAATGAAGCCTTTCTGGACCACGTTACCTAGCCAATTGACTAGCCCGTCAAAAAAACCGCCTGTATTGAGTACACAGACACCACGGTCATGGATACCCAGCTGATGCCAAGTTATCACCTCAAAGAGCTCCTCGAGAGTGCCATAGCCACCACTCAGCCCAACGAATCCACTTCCCTCGCGCCCATCGATCACCTCTTGGATCATCAAGCGCTTTCGAGTATGCATATCCTTAACAACGGTCTGCTTACCGTATCTGGCGTAAGCAGGATCCTTAGGGTGTCTTCCTGATTCCTTGGCTTCGTGTTTAAGTAGTGCCTCTGGAATGATACCATGTACAGCATCAGGACCAGAAAGCTCAACGAGAGTGCTCGCGATTGCGCCCATCACTCCAGTTGTGCTACCTCCGTACACAAGCTTGATGCTGTTTTCGTGACAGACTCTGCCAAGTGACTTGGCAGCTTCAATATGGGACGGGTCGCTACCAGATGACGAACCACCACTAAGAAATTAGCTCTTCTACATCCAGCGATGGGTATTAGACTTTCTTACAAGATGCAGAGTACCCGAGGCTTTGGTCCGTTGATCGAATGGAAACTGAGCGAAGTTGAAGCATGGCAGAAATCACTCGCCATTCGAATTGCAGGTTTCTCAACATCCGAGATCCAAGATGCCTTGTCAACGACCGTAAGGCTCATATTCGCAATTTTCTGGGCGTGAAGAAATGGGGATAGTGCTTGGCGAATCCATTCCAGTTGCGAAATCCCGTATTGAAATGTATTTTCTTTCATCGAGGCCAGCCCAGTCTTGAGCAGCTGATCAAAATGACTGTCGCTCCTTCGAGCTTCCAGATATGGGTACAACTCCTGATACCCAATTGCCTTCCGAATACCCTTGTGAAAGTTGGGATTTCCGTTCAGATGCTTGTCTTCGAGGAGTTTGAGACCCGAAAGTTCTTCCAAAAGACCTGCCTCCACCATCTCATCCAGTCTGGATTCGATGTTGCTGAGATAGGTAGACTGGTGAGGCAGCAGAGTGATAGCAGCCATACGCCATCCACGGTTCAAAGCATCGCGCAGGAGGGGCAAAGTGAGCGATGTTGAGCCTCCAACGACTACAGGTATAGCCCCATGGTCATAGAGTTCCTCCAATTTTTTGATTGCTTCGGCCACAAAGTTTGTTGGCTCCTCGTCAGCCTCCAAATATCCGATCATATGGTGGTCGATTCCATCTGTTTCTTCAGGAGTGGGCTTAGCAGTGATAATACTCCCAGGGGAGTAGCACTGCAGGCTATCAACAGAGATGACTTGCCCATGGACAGACTTGGCGATGGAGGCTCCCAGTTTGGTCTTGCCAGCACCTGTAGGACCAAAAACACCAATCAGGAATCGGTTGGTGGCTTCCATTCTGGTGGTGTTATGTGAAGATAAGCTTGTAGTATGATTGAAAGTAGTGTTATGTATATGAGAGTGTTACGTATAGAAGAGACTGCGATGGTTCCCTCTGAAGTACAGGTAAATTTATACCTGTACACACGGGAGATATCCTGCTCTGCCATGAGTTCTGAACCGTTGGAGCGTAAAGCTGCGTAAGCTCGAATAAGGTTCATTTAGAGATACATTCGAGGCGCACAGATGAATACTCGTCATCCCACATACCCCTCCGGCAAGGTAGGAGGTTTAGGCAAGACACATTTGTCCATATACTAGATGTGTAGTGGTTGCGAGGCATGGCTCTGAGTGATAGGCCAAATCTCGAGGTTAACGAAAAGGTTTTAGTTATCAGCAATGGAACTTTTGTTGAAAAGGGATCGGTAAGAAAGGCTCACGTCATTGTGTGCTATAAACTTCATCATCACACTTGCAGATCATATCACCAAGAACCATGAACAACGCGTAAAACAATTAATCTTATGGGCCTATACTATGGTTCTCACGGCTTTGAGTTCGACCCGGGCCAACTTCTGCTCATTAACTTTGGTTAATTGCCCTTCAAATTGTGTTGAATAGATCATAGTCAAAGTCATTTATCTCCAAGCTTAGCCATTTCACCCGTACTTTCACTTTCACCGACCTTCATACCCACCCCTATCTGTAACGTTTCTTTTACCTAAGGAAGTAGCAACAAGTGTACTTCGTCAATGTCCACAGCCTCTGACTACAACCACGACCACAGCGCTTGAAACATCACTGACATACCATACCGCTATTAATCACTCGGTTTCCTGTAAGCTTCCAGGCTGTTATCGAGCGCTTTTCCAGGCCTCATATCGGCGTTACATGGCTCCAGCTCTCGCATCTTCGTGCTAGGTCCCCATAGAATGCACTCGAGGATTTGGGTTGCTGGCCCAGGACTTATCGATGTACGATGCTATGTAACAAGCCTGCGAGCATATCATGACAAGAATAAAGCCTAGAGTTTCAGGGCAAGAGTGCCGGATTTAGGTGGCCGGACACGGCAGGCGGCAAATGGAACTTCATATGTTAAGCTTTCAGTCCTAGCAACAAGGATGGGCATCAGCTGCTTGGGTGCAAGGGTATGGCAGGTACGCGGAAACATTGGAAACTAACTTTCTTAGTGCTTTCGGCTCGGGACGTGTCCGAGTAGCCAGGGGTATTGGACTGGACGTGTAAGCCGTTGGGTCGGGCGTTACCGTCACGGGGAGGCTATCCGGGACAGACTTGCTGCATGGTGACACCGCGCCTTAGAACCGCCGATGCCGTGAACGCCCTCGACCGATTAATGTGATGGGGGTACTATCCCTCATCAAGAAGGTCCACGAACCAGGCCATTTCACCATAAGGGCTAAGTGATCTGTCCGCGGAACATACTGATAAGCGAGAGAATAGCCAGTAGACGAACGAAAACACCCAGTAAACCTTCCCAAAACTTTAAATATCATCGGGGGAGGCAGTTCTCGCAAGTATTGCAGAAACAAGCGCTGAGCAATATCTAAACGAGTCTGATCTACCTTTAAAATTGCCTCAGACTCATACCAAATACCGAGCCCTATTTCCATGGCGGCTTTTCAGGGGTTGCTCTGCCTCGTATCTGCATCCCTGTGCAAAACATTCGCTCTCGACCCCCAAACAAGCATTTGTTATTGATCAGGGCCTCATTCTAGTGGACAGAAACCCAGCTCAAGGCTCCCGTATATTCGAACACCCTGAGAGACCAATGGCATTGCGTATCAGATTCGATCACGTATCAGGCCGTTACGATACTGTGACGGTCAGTTAACTAACTACAAGTACTTTGCCCTGCAGGGTTTAATATGCACGATATGTTGGAAAAGGTCATAGCGGGCTGCAGGGCCGCTCGTCGACAAATGGGAGAGCGAGGGGCTCAAAATGGCCCCCGAGGAACAGATACGGATACGAAACCTAACTTACAATTTATCATAGAGCATATCGGCACTAGCAACCGATACTTCTTTTAGCCTCTCTCACCTTTCTTGTCCTGGTTTCTCTTTCCAACAAGCATAAGCGCATCATCAAGGATCAGCCATGTCTAATAGCACTGATGTCGACATCATCAGAAGCTGCAGTGCATCGTATGTTCATGTTCGATAATGTGTTGTTGTGAGCTGACTGCAAATAGGGAATCCATTTGGACTGCCTGTCATACGCTCGGAATCTAGTTCCGTATCTCAAACACCGCCACCTTGACCATTCCGACACCCAAGTTCAAAAATGACTCCGCGTCACTTTTTATACGCACGGCCGTGGCCCAAGTCATGCTTAAGCAGCCCGTCATGCGCGTTGGCATTATTGGACAAGACTCAAAACATCCACGATTCGTTGCCTTGTCGTCTATTGACTTTTCTGAACAAGTTGAAGACGCGAAAGCATCATCGACAGATGATGTGACTAGGAGCCTAGAAAACCTATTGTTGCAGCCATGGCCCGACCTTTCAAAACGCCCGGGCTGGCACGTTCTGGTCTTTCATGAACCCAACTTGGCAAATAAGGACGTTTGTCGACTCCGGATTTGTCTCACTGTTCATCATGCCATCTGCGACGGAGAAAGCACAGCAAAATTTCACACATCCTTGGTTGACGCTCTTAACAATCCTGATCCCACCGTCGCGCTGATGATGGACAAAAGTCTTGTCGTAAACTTGACTGACGATATCCGCGACTACCCTCCCCCACAGGAAAAGCTCATCAGCTTCACTGCGGACATCTTCTGGATAATATCCGGACTCTGGAATATGCTTGCACCATCATTCCTCAAGCCTTCTACATCTCAGAAGTGGGCGGGCGAGCCTTGCAACCCTGATATTCAAGCCGCACACATCCGCTACATTTCGCTAAGCTCCGTGCTCACTCAAGCTGTAGTTAAGAGGTGTCGCGAGGAAAAGACTACATTGACCAATCTTCTCAATGCCCTTTGCGCTACCTCCTTGGCGAGACGCGTGCCCCTGACCCAGCAGCAGGGCTTCGTCAATCTCACAGCTGTCAGCCTACGACCGTGGATTTCCGAAAAAGTGCAGTTCAACAAGGCTTGGATGTCCAAGTGCGCGTCATCACACGCCCAGGAATTTGGACACGACAACTTAGTCAAGATTCAACAGGCTGGGGATGCTGCAGTCTGGGAGCTTGCGGTCGGATTGCGACGGGACATGAAGAGAAGAACAGACTCAATACCCCATAACGAGTATTCCTATCTTTTCCGCTATGCTGGCGATTGGCGTCATGTCTTCCAGGCCAGATACGGAAAGCCGAGGCGGGAGCTATGGACGTTGAGCAACCTGGGTTCTATCGCCGCCCCGGCGTCCAAAGGCCCCTGGGAATTGGAGAATATGTTGTTTGCCCAGTTTGCGCCGATTTTTAGCTCTGCGCTTGCGGTCAACACTGTAAGTGTTGAGGGCAGAGATATGATGGTGTCACTTGTATGGCAAGATGGAATCCTAGAGACAGAACTTGTAGAAGGGGTAAGAGACGACTTGGAAAGGTGGCTGCTTAACCTTGGAGAGGAGGGGAGGCTAGGAATGTAGTGGTACCTAGTTATGCGGGAATGAATTGAGTGACGACCTGTTCCTGTAGCTTGTATAGTTTTTATAATACCCTAACCTATATTAAACTAAACCCCAGACTTGTTCTTGATTCTGACATTAACGTTACAGGGTTTATTAAACCAGTAATTACTAGTGTTCCATTCTGTACCAGTACCCTCTAAATCAAAAGTAAGTAGAAGTTGAGGAATCAACTTATACATTTCACATAAGGATATCTAGCAACTAGTTAGTATTAATTATCATCTTCAATAGACAGATACTTACATTTTTTCCAATACAGGTTCTCGACCCGCTTCCAAACTGCAAATCGCGTCAATGGATAAAGAGCACTTAGGCCTGGGTCTTATCATACCTGAAACATGTGCCGCTCCATATTCTCTCTATTGTCCTGAAACCATCTCTCGGGCCTGAATTCGTTCGCATCGTCCCCAAAAATGGTTTTGTCACGATGAACGACGGCTGCGTTTACTCCAACTCTCGTTCCTTCAGGAAACCACTCGCCGCAAATCATGCTTCCGCCTTTAGGCACGTTGCGCGGCAAGGTCAACCCAACACTGGGATGCATCCTCATGCCTTCTTTGCAGCATGCGGTCAAGTACGGGAGTTTCATGGCTTCACTGTATTGCACAGAGGGGCCGCTTAGCTCCCCAGATGCGGCAGCTTGGCGGATTTCCTCTGTCAACTTCCGATAAGCCTGTGGGTTCTTGACAAGATGGTAGAGGATGGAGGAAACTGCCGCTGCGGTGGTATCGGAGCCTGCAAACCTATTTCCCGGTCAGTTGATTGAACAGCAAGAAGTTAGTGGGCGCACGAACAAAGCAACGTAGACTTCAACTTTTGCTTCTGTCAATCCGAAGTCGGCTTTATTCCCCTTTTCTTGGATGATGCCGAAAAGACTTGACATAATATCCTTTCTTTCAACAGTTTCACCGTTTTCGAGAATTTCTTGTCGCTCGGCGATGCATAATTCGGCTGCTCGTTCAATCTCATTGAGACTGGTCAAAGCCCTCCGCACACTTCCAAACATTGTCCCTGCCATTAGGAATAATGTGCGAACATAAGTTGGCATGACGGAAGTCACTGCCAAAGCAGGTAATAGGGTGTCTAGGGACCTAATATAGCCTTGATGGTCGCCACCTTCCTTCAAGAAGCCGAACATACGGCTGAAGAACAGCTGACCTATCACATCAAAAGCATACCTATGCAACAGTCCTGTCAGTAACTTGCTACCCAGTTATGAGGGCCATTGGGTAAATACATCTGAACCCAACTAGAAATGTTGATAACTTCACCACTGTCGGCATACTCCCGCATTCTCGACATGAACAAGTCTGTGCACATATCGATGGCGCTCTCGGCTCGTACGATGTTTGTCATAGAATACAGGTTGTTGACTATCCTTCTCCGGCTTGCGTGGAGTTGTTCATCCAAACACGTGAAGTGGTCAGGGTACTTGGCTATATCGAATAAGTGGTTATTCACAGTTTCCAGATAGATGTAAACTTACCCCATAACGGCCGCCACGGAAGATAGAAATCAGTCTCGGGAAGTTAGCAAGTCCAGAAGATGTAAGGAGAAATGCTGATAGACACCTTAGTGAAGCCAGAATTAATGCTATAAATTGTTTTGATCGCACTTGGGTCGGAAATTGCAACTTCATTGGTAGCAATCCGCACGATGGGTCCTATCCGAAACACATTTAGCGCTGCCATGTAATGAGCTTTGATACTCACCTAGCCTACTGTGCAACTTCCTTTGGGTCTTGTCGGCGCTGGCTCCCGCAACTTGCATGACGAGCCATGATCTCGACACCGAAGCCAAGAAGGGTCCAGGGTATTTCGCGAGTGGATGAATAGATCTAGCATAAGAGATCCAGAGACACCAATATAGCACAAATAACCCAAGGAGTATATAAGCAGATGTGAGTAAAGTGGGAATTGATAAGGACACGCTTGTGAGCATTTCGGCAGAGATTGACGAGATTATTGCAAGTTAATGTTTGGTGTTCGTTCTGGAGGTTTTCTTCTACAGGTTTGTTAAGTATTTTCCAAGGCAGACGTTGGGGTTTAAATAAGGCGTGGTTATACGTAACCCAACACTCGTGGTTGTACAACTGGGTTGACACGGCTAAAACAGTTATCGGGAATCTCAACATGGTGCATGAATTTCCCGACCCTAGACTCACTGAGGATGGCTTGTGTCGCCTGTTTGTAACTACTACATACGTATAAATCTCAATGTAATAGAGGAGAATGCGGAGGTGGTGAATTTCCCGAACCGCGATTCGGGCCTCGGCATCGATAGGAAACAACCATACGAAGAATGTTTCCTTTCTTATTGCGTCTTCCCAGATCTAACAATATATCCCAAGGTAAAAGAACGCCTTGATACAAGATAGAGGAGAATGCGGAGGTGGTGGAATTCCCGACCCTTGTAGATGGGGCTCGGTATGAAGAGTAAATAGGTAACGCTGCTAAGGATTTTTCCACTAGCTTATTTATTAACTAGCTTAATAAAACTCAGTTAGACATATTCTAGTCTGAGGCTTCATAGAATCGCGGGGGTGGTGAATTTACCGCTGTGTGGCTGCATTCCTGAACGCTATGATATACACTATCTGTATTAGCTTCCTCTCCCCGCTCACAGAAAGCCCCAGGTGCTCGCTGATGGTCATGCCTACACGATTCGAGCTCCCCTCTTGCGCCTTGCCTGGCGATTCCGTCTCTCTTTCGCCAGACATCCTCTCCTCTCTTCTGAGTCGTCTTTCGCCTCAAATCCTCGTTCTGTTTCTTCCTTGCTTAGGTACGAGACCGATCCAGGAGGAATGCCCTTCCGGTGCCATTCTTGTCAAGCCAAGTTTTCCAAGATGGGTAAGCAGCCCCTCACACAATCCTCAATGGACGTTCGCGCTTCCGAGAGAACTTCGCAATCTATCATCCTCATGCACCGGGCAAAGCTGACCCTATTGTATCATAAGATCATTTGAAACGTCATCAGCTTTCTCGTGAGTCTTTCCCTACCCTCATTCACCTTCTGCAACCGCGCAACCGGGTTGACAGCTCGCAACTTAAGACGGCAATACGCGTGCATACACCTGTCAATTCTGCTACCTTGGCTTCAATCGCAGGTTACCTGAGACCCTTCCAACTCTTCCCGCCTGCTGTCTCTAATTTGTCGTTAGGGATGCACTGCTTCGACATTGGAGGACTTGTGAAGAACGTCTCAAGGCGGGCCAACCTCCGCCTGTCCTGCCGCGGCAGAAACGTGGCCGCAAGCAGAACGCATGCTCGAGATGCGCGCAGCAGAAGAAGAAATGTAGCCGCTCGCTTCCATGCGAGACTTGCTTTAATCAAGGTCTACATTGCACTTATGCAAGATCTTCGCCACCGTCGTCGACAGATACCATCGACAAAGAGCACCCAACGCCGTCCTCGCTGCCACAAATGGATACAGAAGGGACACAATGTCTTGATTGTCAGTCACTGGAAATCTTTCTACCCGACCTGGAGCTCTTCTTTCCAGAATCGACCGAACAAGAAGCCCCTAGTCTACCATCCTCTCGTCCGACTTACCTGCGGTCTCCAAACCACTCTGGATACAGCTTCTTCCAAGCCGAGCAGTCTGCCTCGGCTCCTTCTACTGACGGTAGTTTATCAGATATATTACACGACTACCCATCATCAATCGAGTTGAATTGGCATATCCCGAACATAAACCCCCTCTCATTGTCACTAAGTCCCAAGTCATCACCCCTGTCCACGAAGTTTCGGTTCCTAGCCCAGTTTACAGCAGCCCATGGCCTTGCAAATTCGTTCGAGTGCGGCAACATTCTTGCAAGACGGAAGATCATGTCCGCCTTCGGACAAAATGGCAAGGCTCTATCGACAGTTGATGTTCTCGCAGAAAGCCTTGTGTATCACAGACCCGCACATGCACGTCTTAGGACGGAATCAGATCAAGTGCCTGGATGGCACCACCCTTTGCTCGATGCCAGTTCACATTGCAACTGGAGCTATGCCGATCAGTCCGGACACCTGGGACATGTAGGATTGATAGAAAGTTACCAAAGAGTTTACTATCACCCCTTGAAATCCAAATCTCACGAGATTGTTCAAGGAATACGAGGCGTAGTCTGTCACGACATGCGATGCCGAGGCAGAACAATCAACTGGAACCCGTCAATGGAGCGTTCATGCATTCGATTCTTCTCACCTCCCAATCTCGACAGGTTCATGGAAGCCTTCTGGTATTTTTGGTACCCAAACTGGCCAGTATTCCACAGGCCGACCTTTATTGCTACCCAAAAGCCTGCTCAACTGATCGCTGCCCTGTCATTAATCGGGGCATGCTTGAGCCCGGAGAAGACCGACCGGGATCAAGCGATGCTGTGGATCGAGGCGGTAGGAGATTGGATTCATCACGACCCTGAGTTCTCTGAAGATGCTGTCCCACAAACAAATGATGAAGTGCAGCTGTTGCAGCTTGAATTGCGACTTGATATGGTCCGTGCAGCTTATGCTATCATTCTCATTATGACCTGGGAAGGCAATGAAAAACAGATGACGGTGGCACGGAGAACCCGGTTCTCGCAAGTTATATGCGTTGCCCGCAGCCTCTTCTTTTTCGCTATTGCTCAGAAAAATGTTTACGGCGGCCCAGATTCAAGCAATCACCTTAAGAGCTGGATGCTCTTTGCATTAAAGGAAGAGTGCATTCGCACACTTATCTATGTTTTTCTCCTGGATTGTGCTTTCGTTATGTTCTTCAACTCTGCTCCGCGCATGGCCATAAGTGAACTTCAGTTTAGTCTCGCCAAGCCTGAAGCATGCTTTAACGCTCTGACTCCCGAGATGTGGTTGAATCGTCTAAATGAATGGTCTGAATGCCAGCATACCGATCACGAACTGACATTATTTGAGGCGATTCGGGTGATATTAAAAGGCGAACTTAAGCCGGAGGACTGGGAAATGATTCAAAAGATGAGTCTATTAAATCTCTTTGCCATTACCTGTGGTAAGCCCTTGCAATAGCCTGAACACAGTCAAATGGAAGGTCATAGTACTTACTGAATCGCAGCATTTCATAACCTCATTTTCCATCACCACCACGGAGCAGACTTTGGATCAGTATCTTTGTCAATCACCCGAGGGCTAAGAAACTGGCTGCAGGCCTGGATTGCTCGAGACGTGGTTCTGATCGAAGGCCAACCGTCCCAGTTATCCCGCCCCGAACCTTCTGAAGGCGGAAGCAAGATTGGGTTTTATCGTTATATAAGAGAATACTGGTGCCTTGCTGTGATCTCTCACCATCAGTTTGAGTATGCTCGCGGCCATGGTGTTGATACTAGTCTTGGAGCGAGTAACTTGTCAATATTACAAGGTGGGATTGCAAATATTGATAGCTTGAATATGAGCCAGGTGCATAGGTTAATTATCCAATCTCGAGATATAGATATTGCAAAGATATTAAAATAATAATTTACAATAACTATTCTATTTAGATTGTTATTCCCATATCCTCCATGTCTTTTACCTCACAAGCTCTTTTCTTTGGCTTCCAGGAATGGGAAGTTGTCTTCAGTCTATTAGGGAGTAGAATTCAGCTGTTTTAGATTCCTAGGAAAACAGAACACTAGCTACAACAGGATCTCATGATCATATACCTGTCTGAATTCGATATCATCTCAGCAGGAAAGCCAGCTCATTCATATGGGCCTTATGTCTCAAAACAGCCAAGGACTTCCCTGTCTTCACTTCGGTCAATGGAGATAGCTTCCTCGTGCTAGTTAAGAGTGGTTGCGCATTTCATGCGGGAGGCCGACCAGCTGAAGAGGGGTTGATGAAGCATGAGATTGCGTCGTATTTTCTCCCTCATTTTCGGTTACACAACGATTTCCCCTCTCACTCATTCTCCTACTCTTCTCAACCGACAAATATTCCTATTGATCCCTCAAAAATGATCCAATACCCAGCCAAAAGATGAAGATCCTCAACAGCATCACGCGCCGCATCCGCCGCCTCCCCTCGGCATTCTCTTCCTCAGCCCTCCATCGCACGCACTACACCGGCTCCCTCCTCTTCAACCTCGCATCATTCATCCTCCCCGCTCTATACGGCACGCTATCCAAACTATGGGTCGCAAACATCGATTCGTCAATGGTGGTCCTCACCGATGCGTATACGTACATGAACACTGCTTCTGAAGCTGTCAACGAGGGATTACCGAGGGCAGCATGGGTTATCATCGGCGATAAAGCCTCACGCTCGCTGGGGAAGCGTCTTCAATTGACGCACACTCTCGTCGCATTCCAGTCTGTCATTGGGTTGATTTTGAGTATTATCTTTCTTGCCGCTGCGTCTTCATTTGCGAATAGCTTCGTTCCTGAGGAAATCCGGGATGTGAGTTTGACCTATGTTCGCATCACTTCATTCACCGTTTTCAGCGGCACGCTCGAAACTGCAGTGGCGACAGCAACGAGGGCTCTGGACAAGCCTGATATTCCACTGGCTATCAGCACCGTCAAGTTTGCTGTTAATATCATCCTTGACTTTCTGCTCATTTCGAAATTCCATGTTGGTTCCTTTACCCCGACCGTCAATATGCAAGGTACTATTCAGCTGGTCTGCAATCTTGTTGCAGCTTTTGCGGGACTGGCATACTTTCTTTGGTCGAATACTTGGTCATTCAAGAAGCACACGCCGCATGATCCTCAAGAGAAGCTGCGCCCAAGCTTTGACGCACTCAAAGTCCTTCTCCCGCCTGGATTGGTCTTCTTCACTGAGTCAGCTGTCAGAAATGCCTTGTATCTCTGGCTGGTCAGCACCATCGTTGCGTTGGGCGCAGTATATGCTACAGCATGGGGTGTCTTCAACACCATCCGCTGGGGTCTGATAATGGTCCCAGTCCAGGCCTTGGAAGCAACAGCGTTACAATTCATCGGCCACAACTGGGGCGATTGGAGAAGACGCGTCGACATCAGCACACGAAAGCCCCAAGCGTCATTAAAGGACCTTCGTGGCATCGTGCGCCCAGCTTTCAGATCATTTGTGATCGCCCTCATCTTCGAAGTCCCGATAGCTATCTTCCTCACGCTCTTTGGAGCAAAGCCCTTTGCATCATATATCAGCGGTTCAGATGAAGTCGCAGAGGTCACAGCCTATATGTGGCGAAGTCTCGACTGGTGTTATATCTTCTATGCAATGTCAACTCAACTTGCCACGATCCTTCTTGCAACCCGACCGAGATGGTATTTGTATCAGAGCCTCGCAAGCAATTTTCTGTATGTGCTGCCGTGGGCGATCGCATGTCAGGTGAGTGATTTGAACGACAGTAATGCATGGTGGTATTACAAGTTTGTGTTTGGGGGTAGTCTTGTGTTTAGTTTTGGGGCAATTCTTGTTGTGGACTCGCTATGGGCTTGGACGTTATATCATGGGAAGACTAAGTTGGAGGAGTTCCGAGAATGAACGTATTCCTGTGATTGGAGGCAGTTCCTGCATGTTTGGGCTTTAGTTAATTGCCTAATAAGCCTCTTCTTAGCTCTTTCATCTTACATGGTTATATACAGAGCTTTGCTCCATTTTCGCAGGATTTTGGAGAGTATTATGTGCTATGGTGCAATCAGTGTTACGCAGCACCTCATCATGCAGATCCCACCACCACTTGCTATACCTCGTATTAATAATAAGCCCCAATCAGTCTGCTATTACCGTCGAGACTAACGATTGCGACACATTTGTTTCTTACACTATCAACTGCAACTTCAACATCATGTCTTTTACAACAACTGTGACGGCAGCACCCCCGCCTGGTCAGCCAGACATTGCTTACGCTCCAAACTACGAAAACTATCAAGCCAGGACAGCCAAGCGACTCAAAGAGGGGAATCTTCCGACTTCGGTCCCAGATGGCTTCCCGAAACAACTAGCTGGCGATCTTGTCTGGGAAGGCGATTCGGTCGGGCAAACTTATGACTGGACGTATAAATTGTCCGAGGCTCAGCTCAGCGAGATTGATCAAGCTTTACAGCATTTCAAAGGTACTTAACTACATCAGTGATATACCCCTCACCTAACACAACTAGGTCTTGGCCTCTCACTTGGACATATCTCGGCAGAGACATTCCCTCTGCCAGACCTACACTCGGAATTGCGAAAGCTTTCCGAGGAGCTACACAAAGGCCACGGTTTCTTCGTCATCCGCGGCGTCAATGTAGATAATTATACCCGTGAAGAAAACACCATAATCTACGTCGGCATCTCTTCGCACATCGCATCACAACGCGGTCGTCAGGACAGCAAGTTCGACGGTAAACCCGCCGATGTTGTCCTCACGCACATCAAGGATCTCAGCGCCGGTCAAGACAAAAGCGTGATCGGAAGTCCAGCTTATACTACTGATAGACAGGTCTTTCATACTGATTCAGGTGATATCGTATCGCTGTTCTGTCTCGAGACGGCGCTAGAGGGAGGTGCTAGTAGGATTGCTAGTACGTGGAGGGTTTACAACGAATTGGCGAGGACGAGGCCTGATTTGATCCACACGTTATCACAGAATTGGGATGTTGAGAAGTGAGAAGACTCCGATATTTGATGCCGGTTGACTGACATTTTCAGCTTCGCAAACCCGAATAAGAAGTTTACGACTCGGCCACTTCTGTATCATCAAAAAGCCACCGATACATTGCCTGAGAGGGTTGCTCTACAGTATGCTCGTCGATACTTTGTCGGATTCGGTGCACTACCAAGGAGCCACGACATCCCACCTATCACAGAAGCTCAGGCCGAAGCGCTAGATGCTCTTCACTTCTTGGGAGATAAACTGAGTGTTTCGACAAATTTTGCAAAGGGCGATATGCAATTCATCAACAACGTCGCTGTATTTCATGCTCGAGATGCATTCACGGACTCGCCGACGCAGCAGTAAGTCTGGTGCTCTAGTTGCTCAACATTGGCTAACGACACAAGGCGCCATCTTCTTCGTCTCTGGTTGAGAGATCCTGAGAATGCTTGGGAAACTCCAGAGCCGCTACGTGAGAGGTGGGCAGAACTGTATGAGGGTGTGACTCCAGATGCCCAGGTGTTTCCGCTGGAACCCTATATTCGTAGTGCTAGCAACAGGGCCAGGTAGGGGCATGTGTAGGAAACGTGAGTGATAAGGATTTACTCGAGCTTTGATTACTATCAGCTGTCTATTCAATGCCATGCCTCTATACAGGATCTCTATTTTACTCATGTTGGGAAAGACACCCGGGTGACTACGAGTAACCATCAGCACGTGCCAAGATACTTGCTGGCACGACAGTTTTGAAGCAGCAATGGGCATTAGGCCATCCCCCAGGCAGCACGACCTCCCTGAGAATAACCAACGCTCATCCATTCATTTGTAAGATAAGCTCTTAGTAGTTTGCGCGACGCATTTAGAGTAGTACACGTTATTTGCTTGTGCTGGCAAGACAGCGTGCGGTAGAGTATCGCCTTAACTCAGCGGCTCTTGATGCCCTGCTTGAGATTAAAGGTCTTATCGACCAAAACCACATTCATGAACCTGATAAGAGTACCAAATGAACTCAAATAGACAGCTTCCTATTTGATAAGGAAGACATAGATAGATTAGACAGGCACGACCAATCCCCATCGCTTGGCCAGAAACAGTTCAAGCTTATCCCCGGTAGACGCCGCTCTCCGCAATTTTCCACTGCCTGCGATGACTCATGCTCTCAGCATACACATAACAATTCGATGAGCGTCTTTCTAACCTTAAACCTACGGATCAGGCTCATCTTTTTGCTTTAAAACAAAAGTTAATTGAAGATGGACATCACTGATAGACTTCTTACATCGCAAGAACGGCAGAGGCTGAAGGAGGAGCTGCTAGCAACGAACAATGATGATTTCATACGACAGATCCCAAAGGTCGAAATGCACATCCACATCGATGGAATGGTCACACCAGAGCTTCGATGGAAACTAGCCAAAAGAAATGGATTAGAAGTGCGTATGGGAAACAACAAGCCCCTCATAAAATCTCTCGATGACTTGAAAAAAGCATACGCATCTATCATCTCATCTTCCCAACGCCATCAATACGAACATCTCGATCCGTCTCTGATTCCACCTACGTTCTTCGAGGCCTACTACTCTAGCCATGAGGTCCTCCGAACTCGACAAGACTTTTACGACGTCGCGATGGCGTATTTCCAAGGTGCTTCGGAGATGAATGTGCGGTATTGTGAAGTGTTTTTTGACCCGCAGGCACATACTAGCCGCGGTGTTTCCTGGGAAGATATGATGGGAGGACTTCGTGATGCGCAAGATGATTCGGCCAGGACTCTAAATGTAAGACTCGTATACTTAATTCGATGAACAAGTCTAAAGTGCTGAATGCTAGGTCAAAACTGCTTGGATTATGTGCTTCCTTCGCGATCAATCTCTAGACTCTGCAATAGAACACTATGAAGCAGCGCTTCCGTATCGAGACATGATTATTGGTATTGGCCTCGACTCAAACGAACACAGACGACCTCCTATTCTATTCAAGGAAGTCTTTCAACGTGCTAAGAGGGATGGGTTCAAAATCACAGCACATTGCGATGTCGGTCAGGAAGACACTTATCAGAACATCCACCAGCTCATCTCACCCTCCGAGGGAATCCTCACACATCGCGTCGACCACGGTTTAAACGCGGCAGACAAGCCAGAGCTTGTGGAGCTTATCACGAGCCAAGGCATCGGCATGACAATCTGTCCCTGGGCTTATCTGCGGCGCTTCAATCTCGAGGAAATTGGTCGTCGTCTGCGGACATTGATTGATACGGGTGTCAAGATTTGCATTTCTAGCGATGACCCTCCCTTTATGGAAGGCGCGTGGATTATGCATAACTTACTGCTTGCCAGACAGTTGTGTGGCTTGACTGAAGAGGATATTGTACAGATGATGCAAGATGCGGTAGAGATTTCTTGGGCGGATCAAGACGTGAAGACAGAAATCTTGGCTGAGCTTGGCGGGGATTCTTATAGATCCACGAATAAGGGATAGCCAGTCATTACCATCGGCGTGACAGGGACTCATCGTAGGTGGACAAACGACCACGTTCACGCATGTTCACCATTTAGATATGCGACTGACTACTGATAAAGGCTCTTAATAAAACGTTTAACAGCATCTACTTCCCGATTGCTTATGAGAAAAATAGTACACTCTGTGTCCAATTATCAATAACGTGTCTGGCAAAGCTTGCTGGACACTACTCAGTCGCCTCGAGTCAACGATATAGCGTCACTCGAACCGGACAGGCCGATGCCAAGAGAAATCACTTCCCCAGACACCCGGCCCACGAGCTAGCTCACATCAAGACCAGCTGCCCCTGTGTCACATATTTCTGTTGGGTCTGGGAAAACGGCATGCGCATTATGATCTGGCTTGTCGCTCGTGGGTCCTGGGCTCAAGAACTTGGTTCACTCTCAGCTCCACATTGTGGGTAGCAGCTGGAGATTACCGAGACCCTGGATATAGCTTCACAAAAATGCTCATGCATGAACCAACCTTATGGGATCCTGGACGTTGACGGACCGACAAGTGGTCCAGGCACTAGATGTCTAACCATTAGTAGACCGCAGACCCACGACAAGACACTCGATCGGATCCGAGACCGAGAAGGGGTGTCCCTCGCGTGGGTTGACAGCTGAGGGGTGGAGTTTAGATCGGAATGGTCAAAGTCAAATCTGCAAAACCAGGGCCCCTTCATAAACACGATTGGAATGGGAAAATGTTTCAGAACATCGATTTGGCAGTTCTATTTTTACCAGCCCCGGTCCCAGGTGAAGTCTATTTTCCTTAGACCAGCTGAAACACAATAGCACTAAAACAATTAAAGGCAACAAACCACCGATCTATAAACTCCAACAAAAGTAATCTATCCAAAACCGTACCCTTCGTCCGTTTACACCTTTATCTTAGTCCCATTCGCCTCTAGAAACCTACACAGGTCTCGACAGCTATCAAGCAATGTCTTCCGGGGTTTCCATCCCAGTTGAGTCATAGCTCTACCAGGATCAGCGACACAGACTCCGACGTCACCTTGGCGGCGTCCCACTTTCAACACGGGAATGTCTCTCCCTGAGGCACTCCTCATAGCTTCAACAACCTCGTACACGGTCTGGCCAGTCCCGGTACCAATGTTGAAGGTCTGGAAGCCTTGGCCTTCTTTCACCGCAAGGGCGGCAAGATGACCCCTTGCAAGATCGGAGACATGGATGAAATCTCGAATAGCAGTTCCGTCTCGCGTATCCCAGTCTGTACCGAATACTTGTAGCCGGTCGGTCTCTCCAAGCATGACTTTGAGTAGGACAGGCATCAGGTTGGTTGGTGCAACACGGGGGTCTTCTCCTAACCGTCCAGACTCGTCGCAACCAATGGGGTTAAAATACCGCAAGGCTGTGATGGTCCATTCTGGGTCTGCAATAGCTAAATCAGAAAGAATAGCCTCACAGATCCATTTTGTTCTCCCATATGGGTTAGTGAGACCAGTGCATCCTGAAAGAGTTGGCTGGCTCTGGCCCCTAGCATCGCGCCACTCAGTAGTACTATGACTGCAAGACTCTTCCACCAATCGTCCACCTGCATCAGCCAGAGAACCATATACAGTAGCTGACGACGAGAAGATGAAGTTCTTAATGTTGAAATTTGATAATGTGTTACAGAATCTGATGAGCCCACCGACATTGTTGTCATAGTACTTGAGAGGCTGCTCAATACTTTCCGAGACAGACTTGTACGCAGCAAAGTGAATAACGCGTTTGATTTGCGATCCAGAAGGTGAAGAGTAACGAGACAAAATCTCCTGAATCTTAGCATCGTCTCTAAAGTCAGCCTCGTAGAAGTGAAGATCTGGGCGACGATGACTGATGCTGAAGCGTTGGTCCGTCATGTCGTTGAGTGTATCAAGAACATTAACGAAAGCATTGCTGAGATTATCGATCACAATGACATTGCTTCCTTCTTTTAGGAGCTCCCAAGTTGTGTGGCTGCCGATGTAGCCAAGGCCACCAACGACGAGGATGTACTCGTCTAGAGTTGTACGATTGGGAGAGGGGGGGCGACTGAACAGAGTGTCTTTTTCAGTTGCAGGTGTGCTTGGTCGAGAAGATGACTTCAATGACTGAGCGGTGTCTGTGATTGGGGTCGTGGCCCCAGAGGATTGAAGGGAGTCCATGATGAAACTTGGGAAGATGAGAGAAATACAATGAGTAAGGACTAATTTGGGTTCGATCAAGATGGACAGTATCTCACAGAGCTCAAGAAGAAATCTCAAGTTATTCAGAGTGCATGGGCTCGCTTAATATACTCAAATCCTGAACAATGACCTCGAACAGCAAGACTAAAACACAACCCGTTCACAAGAGTTCTCATGCCCAAAGCTAACATGAAGAATTTTTTAATAATTCTCCCGACTCACTAGAAACTCGTCGTAGCTGGAATACAAATTGGAGTCGTGACTTGAGAGTGGATTGTCTCCATAATGGCCTCGAACAGAACGCAGAAGCTGAGTGAGGCGGACATCGACCACCTGAAGCTGTCTTACTCCCGTGTTCCAGATCCCTTATGGTCTTGTTCCGATACACTAACGACTTCATCGCGGGACGTTTGACAGCTCTTCACTTGGTGAATTGTCTAAGAAGTCAGACCAACTCATCGGAACCGACATTTTTAGCCCATCTAAAGCATTTTGAGAATTATTCGAGCACTAGGAAACAACCCTCACTCTAGTCCCAAAAGAGAAAATGTACGGGCGACCAACAATGACGCACTTCCTCACCAAGCCAAAACATAAAGAAGTAATAATCTTGTCTTCGGTATCCCACCGTTCCTAGATCTACCTCGGTACGTTCGGAAGGTGGATATACCAACGGCCATGCCGGCAAGGCTATAATCTAAGCGAGGTGGATTCGCCATGTGGCTTCAAGCTTAAACGGTGCAGACGTTGAAACTCTATCTTGCCCACTTTCCCGAGCGGTTGGTCTTTTCAGGTACCAATAACGATAACCGAGTCTGGAACAGAATCTAGCTTCGGTCCGTTTGGTAATGCTGAGAGCTGGGTATATCCACGTTCAGCTGTATGCTATCGGCTCATCCGCAAGTGCAGGTCTCGTCATTATTCTGTGCTAAAGATTCCGCTGCCAAGACGAAGGAAAGAAATTTTGTTGTATAAACAAATGTTTTGTTTTATGAAGTAGGCATATTTTATGCAGCAATATCTCCAAAACGCTTCAAATTCTCTGGTGAAGGGTTAGTTATGTAGCTCTCCTTCTTCCAGTTATTCTCTCACCTTACTTGCTTTTTCATAGCCTCACCTCAACGCACTTATCCGTTCAGATGGCTATAAGAAGCAGCAATCCATTTTGGAGTAATGAAGATCCTTCATATGAGGATCTGACTCTCCCCTGCACTGCCAGACTAGATGCTTCAATCCCAGATCTTGACCCTGATCAAGCTCGCTCTGGTCTTTCCGTCAACCCTCCTGCCCGCTCTCTGGATAACCCATTTGCGACTCCCCCCTCAAGTCCCTCCATCAGCCCAATATCGACCCCACCACCAGCCATATCCTCAGACCGAAGTGCTCGCAAAGTTGGCATCTATGGTCCTTCCTCTCCTTCACAGACATCTCTAAGTAGCTTAGCCGATGAAAGACCCGCCAGCAACCTTCTCCGCTCTGAATCATCTACCAAAAAGGCATCATTATGGACAAGATTCTGGCGTTCGTTGAATAATCAGTTCTCCCCCAAGGCCTTCTGGGAACTCATCCACCCAAAAGAGTACATCTACCCCATGACGCCCAAGAAAGGCGCTGCACTTGCATTAGTCATGTCCTGCGTTGCTGCACTTGTTATATCGAATTGGTTCACTGGTTGGATGGGAAAGGCTATTGCACAAACTCGGAGTTACATGCTACCTGTTCTCGTCATTGTTCTTACTCTTGAACCTCTCATGTTTCTTATAATCTTGTCTATTGCCAGAGTCCCGCCTTATAACCCTCCCAAGACGCATTCCTTTCCAGTTGTGCAGAAGCATGCAGATGAGAAGAGTCCTGGCGATCTAGAGCGGGGCGTGGTGGCGGTCATCACGGAGGCCTGGGAAACTGCCTTTGTGATTCCCTGCCACAACTCGGATCGAGAAGCTTTAATAAAGGTGATTGAATCCGCATATCCCCATTTCCGACCCCAAGACATCTTCATCATCGATAACGGTCGATCTCGTCATCCACAAGACCTCTCCTTCCGCCACTGGCTCAAGAATCTTCATCCCGATCTCGTCTATATCTGGTCCCCCATCGGTTCCAAGAACGCAGCTCAACTCGTCGGTTCCCTAGCAGCCAAAAACTACAAATACATCCTAACAACAGACGATGACGTCTCTCTCCCCGAAAACTACCGTCATCCCATTCATCTTATGAACGACCACCAACGCGCCGTTGCTTTTCCCTTAGCTGGCACCGATGCAGATGGCAACACCCCACTAGGCATGGTCTCTTGGCAAGATTGCGAGTACCGCATGGCCGGGCTTGTCAAACTCGCTGAGGATCGTACATGCGGCGTTAACTTTCCCCACGGCGCTGGGTGGTTCGTTGATCGCGATGTATTCGTTGAGCTGCTTTCGAAATATCATCCTATGGATTTTATTGCCGAGGATGCGAACGCCGGGTTCTCTATTATGCGTCTTGGGAAGGGTATTGCTTTTGATGCGCAAGTTACTCTGGCGACTGAAGTTCCAGCGACTGTGCTTGGTCCGGGGCTGAACTGGTGCAAGCAGAGGATCAAGTCATGGGAGATGGGAAGACATAGTCTGATCTGGAAGATAATGCGTCACCTATTCCGCATGAACGGCCAACGAACGATTCAAGGAGTTCTCATGCAAAAGGGTCTATTTCTTTACATCCTTGCCTGCCTAGTCATCGACTGGGTCCGCATTCCCGTCCTAGTCGCTCTCGGCGCGCATAAGGAATACTGGATCTTCTTCTTCGGTCTCGCCTTTGTCGCCTGTCTTCCTCCCCTACTCTACAACTATCTCAGCTGTTGGCATTGTCCTGATATGCGCATTGGACTTGTCACCATCGCCACTTATCCTATTTACAAGCAGCTGTACAGTTTCGTCTCGGTCTTTGGGGCTGTTCGATGGGCACTGTTTTATATCGGGGGACATGTTAGAGCGAAGCCTATTAGGAAGATGCTCAAGGATGGAGATGAAGCTTGCTTTTGGCTTGATCCCAGATTTAAGACCAATCCTGCTTGGTTGGCTGATGAGAAGGAGAAGATGCTAGCTGATGAATTGGCAATGGCAGTGGTTGGATCGACATAATGAGGTGACGCTCGTGGAGGTGACTATATAGAATGAATTTCGCCGAGTAAGGCATCACTGAACATAGGCTACTGGTCAAACTTGGAACAATGCTTCAAATGTTCCTTACGATCCAAATAATATCGTTCTCAAGTCCACGCTGCAGTTCGTGACTGTCACATGATATAAGCGATCTTATACAAGGCTAGCTAGCAGTTTCACCATGTTTGAAGGTTAGCGATCGCAATCTCCACGCTTCCGACAGCTTACTCGATCACCGTCAATTATTATGTTCCGTACTCAATTGTGATGCTTTGGTAGAGTTACACCAATCGTATCACTGTATCCGATATGGCGTTACGTCAAAAACATTGTCAGGCTTCCATCAGGCTTCCAAGTTCGCTTTTTCCAACGTCTGTGCATGATGCAGCCAATTTCCGAACTGATCTGATCTTCCATGTCCGCCAAGAGCGGGAAGTGGTCCCCTTACATCATACCAATTTGCCTCTTCAGCTACATCAACCGTCTACCATCATCATCATCACCAGCTTTAGCATACTATTTCAAGCTCAACTGCATCTACAACTCTCCATCGGCAGGTCTTGACAATGATTTCTTCCGCTTACGTAGTGTCCATCCGCGTCTGATTCTTAGCCCAGTTGCCTAGCAACTGGGATCCTCCACATCCTTGCCCTTGATACGAGCCTTAGCTCATGCTGCTAAATTTGGAGTGGCGCTGCTGATAGGCCAAGAACCCCGGATTAATCCCTTAATGCGAGTCCTAGCGGCCCCTAGCCAGAGACAAAAACTGACCATCCCGTACTAAGCCCATCCCTCAGCCGACGCGTAACTTTTCCTGTTCCTCCTCCATCACCACCAACATTCGTTAAATTCTTTTTTGACCTTCTTCAACTACAATCGCTATTCTTGCAAAGTTTTAATACCACTTTTAAACAAACATCGTCATCATGTCTTCCACAACTCTCAGCACCGCCAGCGCCGTCCCCACGGCCTGCACAAACCTCTATGACACCCCCAACCAGGACAACACCTGCGCCATGCCCTTCAAGAACAACCACACCGAGATCATGGAGAAGTGCTGCGGTGACGCCAAGATCGTGAGCTACTACAACGCCTGCGGCCTCTACTGCGTCGCCCTCGACCAGACCATCGGCGACCTCGCAAAGTGCCTCTTCGCCAACGGCGCCCCCGACGCGGACGTCTTCTGCAGCGGCAGCAAGAAGACCACCAAGACCAAGGACGCCGACGTCCCCGCCACCGCCCAGGCCAGCGTCATCTCTAGCGACGATGATGACAAGGACGATGATGACAAGAGCTCTACTGGCACTGCTTCTGGTACCTCTACCAGCACCGGCACGAGCTCTTCTAGCTCTGAGACTTCCACCGAGAGTGGAAACGCCGCTGCTGGCTTCGCTCCCAAGTCTAGCATCAACACTCTCGGCCTTGCCATTGGTGCTCTGCTCTTCTCATCCATGGCTGCTGGTGCTTTCCAGCTGTAAGCAGCTACCTACCATTGGGATAATCAGCTTCGGTCATTCTATGTCGATAATTTGGAAACGGATCAGATAATGTTTGCGTGCATCTAGCATTTGGGCGGTGCGTAAAATATTGATGGGTATCATAATTGGTTTCATGTGCTTTGGAAAATGGAAATGCATACTTTAATTAGCAGTCTATCGCTTGATATACAAATTGCTCCCCCAGCTTGTTTAAACCCCATCCATTATCGTGACTCGTGCAGCCTCCACTTGTAAGCGAGGGACGGACTTAGTTAATCGTGATCGATGAATGGAACGCAGGCAGTGTAACGTCGTGCGACGTCATTGAATCCATGTGTAGACCATGTGCTGCCTAGAAATGGCTTGCCAAGGAAAACGGTCGAAAAGTCAATTCCACGAGGCCGTTTGCGATGGGATCCGGGAAGACGAGTCAGTAAACGAAGATAACGAGGGATTCGTGCTCACAACATACCGCCGCTTTTGGATGTAATCTTGCCCAAAAATGCTTTATTTGAAGGATCTTTGTGAAGAATGAATTGCGATTAACTTGCGTCATCGACGTGAGTCTTTTGCCGGATATCCGCGCTTCCAAGACAAGGTTACACCATGTTGGAGTACAGGGTAAGCACTACATTTTGTAGCAATCTCGATCAAGTAATCATAACAGCTCATCAGATACTTCAGGTTACTCCTCAAGTGTACTGATGGTGTCAAATTAATTGTGATTAATACAGTTATTCGTAGTTTTCTTTTTTCAGACTGCAAAAATGTCCGAGAAAATAATTGACCGACATTCATTTTGTCGCGTTGGCAACAGAAATAGCTTCAACGTTACTATCAACACGGAAAACGCGGGCAAAGTGAGGATGTCTCAGTAATTGTTAGAGCCTCCTTCTCCTATTCCGCATTCTCTCAGTCCCCCCCCCCTAAATCATCCCCAATTATTCCCATCGTCATAGACATCTCATAACCCCATTCCAACGATCGCCGCTTGGCTTCCCCCCCTCTTTCTCCCCATCTTCACATTCCATCGCGACATCTCGACAAAGGGGTAGCACAGACAACACCCTTGCAGTGTCTCGCACCTCTCTTCTTCGCCAATTAGCCTCGGACTCGGGAGCCAAAGCTTGTTCCTGAGACACAAATCATGCATTCCACCTTGACGAGAAATGAGCTGGCCGATGCAGGGGAATTATTTACGCGCTAAGTCACCTTACAAGGCTGGAGGGGACTGGGGCTACAAAGGGAGATCCTGCAGGTTCGAATCGTTCGATGTCGGGCAATCCACTGCATGCTTTCGTTCCATTCCTCACGTTTGCTTGCTATACAACGGAACGACGGGTTGCCGAATGGTAGCCCACAAGAACAGGAGCGATATCAGAGCTAGCATCACGACTTCAGTAATCATCAAGGTCATGAACTCAATTCCGCACTGCAATTGACTTCCGGAACCGAAAATTACCGTGATAACGAAACCTTGCTTCAAGTGATTGACGTGATCAGACGCGCTAATACCAACGAGTCCCAACGCTTCTCAACGCTCCACAAAACGTCGAACCGCAAAGGGCGCCTCAACTGGGCTGCCGTTTAGCTCAACCGCTAAAAAACAAGCGCTGTCACTATTGCGGTTTTCTTGGAATAGCGTAGGGTAGATTCCCGTCGATAATCGCGGACAACTCTCTTTGCCCTTGCATCAGTGACATCCAGATCCCAACGTGCAGAACATGGCATTGTATGCATGTCACCAGCCAGAGTTGGTAATGAAGCTTGGGCCTGTTGTTTTGTTTAGCATCATGAACCGTCGTAGAGCCTTTGTACGATAGAATAGTGCTATTCATCAGATCGATATCGCTCATTGAATCCACTGCGCAATCGTTGGAGACAACACACTAAATCAAGACATGACCAAATGACTCCATCGCCGGTTCCTTGTTTCCGGTGATCTGAACCACACCATATCTCCGCAACCATTCAGACAGAATCGTCCAAAAGGGCTTACGGTAGGATCCCAAGTGCAACATCAACCACACACAAGAGATTCCCAGCCATCCTAACTAAGCAATTGCGGGAGAAACATTGTAAATTACCACTTACGCGTTCGACCTTCTGCAAGGCACAGAGGTCTCACTGGTTCAGTCTGGTCGTGTGCGGTTGTGACACTCATTCTTCCCCCTACTGGGCAAATCTCCTAAGCCGTGTCTGAGCCCAAACATACCTTTTGAAATTTTGTTGCTAAGGGGGTTTTGCCAGTACAGCCTGTTGTCACGGGCATTAATGGGGAAATGTGATAAGTGGAAAGGATTGTTTGACATTGAACTAAGGCACTATGCATATCTTGTCAAGTCTTGGCTTGTTTGTGTTATCATTCACCTGGGATAGCCATGTGCGGGTTATAACTTTATTGTAATGGTGATCTGCTAACGACACATGTCGTGGCTGGCCAACAAAAGCTTGGTGCGCCTTGCAAAAATCCAAGTCTTTTGTTCTTAACTGGTATTATTTACAAAAGAAAACCGCTGTTGGAATTCGCTGGTGAAATTGCCTTATCAAGGGAGACATAGGGGGGCCGCTTCCATATCTTCTTCAACACCCGAACGCACTCACTCCGTAAATACGAAAGCAGGAAAAAAGTAGTAGCGCCGAAGATCTATCTCACCAAGTGGCGAGTAAGTTGATGGCCTAGGGGGTGAAATAAAACGTCTGACATGAAGATCCGATTTTGTATGGTAAATGTGGATTCCAGCGTCAGACGTCTTATTTCACTCCGAGGATGGCTTCGGATCAATCAATCTAGCGGTAGTCTGCAAATAGCTAGACAAAAACCTTGAAGAATGGAATATCATCCTCTAGACTGGTTTGTCGTGCCTATGCTGGTGAGACATTTTCTCTTTTGGTCCACACCAGGTGGAGTGATGGTATCGCCCTTGCATGCTTTCGGATCTAGCAATCGTGTATGAGGAATGTTTGCATGCAGGAGATGAATATTCCCAAGGGTGAGTACCCCAAATATCAAAGAGTGACGAATTGTTGAAGCGATGTGCAAGAATCTGTATATATAGAGGCTGGTGTTCTTGTCCAGAATATTCTCATCTCATCCTCACTCTCAATCTTCCCATCGAGGACCAGGTCCATTCGTTTACAAACCAAATTCATTCGTTCTTTAATACATTCGCTCACAGCACAATCAGTACCTAATCATGCGTTTCTCTACCGGTCTGCTCGTGGCTTTGGCCTCGAGCGTCATGGGTCAGCGATTCACCAACTCCAGTATCCCTGCTACTGAGTCCGCTACCACCACCACCGATGCTGCTCCCACCGGCTCTGCTGTAGCTGCTAAGCCTGTCGATCTCGGCAGTGCCAACCTGGGACCCGGCGCATCGTTCGTCACTCGCGCTGATGGAACCATCGCTGTGTAAGTTCTGCTCCCAAACGGCCCGCGGTCTAGTCACAAACTCTAACCAGCCCTATAGTGCCCTGGTCGCTGGCCCCAATGGCGTTGCTTCTTTCTCCATTGGCGTCGCCTCCGACGATTTTAGCGACTTCTCTATTGGAGACTTGTTCGAGCTCCTCTTTGACATCTTGACCGCGCTCCTTGAGAACAGCCGAAAGCGTGCTGCGACCGACTGCACCCTTGATGTCACTGTTGACGGTGTGAGCGTCTACTCTGAGGGCCTTTCCACCGGCTCTAGCTCCGGGCGCACCGATAGCACACCTTCCACTGGTAACGCCCCCAATGTCGAGTTTGTTCAGTCTTGTGGTGCTACCGGTGCCCGCCTCGAAGTCTCTAACCTTGCTATCGGCCCCCCTGGTTCCAGCAACCCCGGTGGCGGCGACGGTGGCGGCAGCGAGACTGGCACTGACACCACTGGCACTGCTGAGCCTACCAACACCAACTCTGAGGGCGCTACCACCAACTCCGAGGGCCAGACCATCGAGCCTACTGGCACCGAGACTGGCACCGAGACTGAGACCGGCGCTGCTACCAACTCTGAGGGTGCCACCACCAACAGCGAGGGTGAGACCGTCTTCCCTACTGGCACCCAGACTGGCACTGAGACCGAGACTGCTGCTACCAACTCCGAGGGTGCTACCACCAACTCTGAGGGAGAGACCATCCAGCCCACTGGCACCGAGACCGGTACTGAGACCACCGAGCCTACTTCTTCTGCTACATCCGCTGCTGGCTTCCCCGGCTCCATCCTCGACTTTGCTTTCTTCGGCTGTGTCGGTTCCACCGAAGGCTTCCCTACCTTTGAGCTTCTCCAATCTTCCAGCTCCATGGACCTCAACCTCTGCGCCAGCCTCGCCGAGGGCCGTGCTTACTTTGGTGTCCACGATGAGGACTGCTATGCCGGTGACGAGATCGACGGTGAGAACACCAGCCGTGTCGACTCCGACCAGTGTGACATCGAGTGCCCCGGTGATGACTCTGAGTTCTGTGGTGGTGATGCTCCTCTTACTCGCCGCAGCCGCATCCAGGCCCGCCAGGCTATCCCCAACACCATCCGCCTCACTGTCTACGTCGCTGTCAACGGCCCTGATGTCACTGTCACCGATGTCCTCACTGCTACCGTCACTGACCAGTCTACCCTGACCACCACCTTCACCACCACCATCTCCGATGCCACTGCCACCGAGACCCAGACCGTCACTGCCATCTACGTCTGCTCCAACGGCAAGTGCTACCCCGAGAACGACAACGGCTCCAAGGTTGTCTTCATCTTTGTTGGTTACCCCGGTGAGGATTGCGACGGCGAGCTCGTCTACATCTCTGAGGCCTGCTCTTGCCAGGGTGGATCTCAATACGTCCCCAAGTACTGCTCCAACGGCAGCTGCCACGGTCTTACCGTCTACAAGCCTGAGGAGTGCAAGGACTGGTGGAACCACGACAACTTCTTCGTTCCCGCTAACTGCGATGTCTGCGAGCACGGTGATGTCGTCTACAAGCCTTGGGAGAACTCCTGGGGTACCCCCGCTGAGTGCCACGAGGCTGAGGTCCC